GATTTAAGCGCAGTGTAGGAGTCATTTCCGGTCATATAGAGTATATTATTGATCAGAATCAATGGTTGAGTCGATCTAGCCATGCCCGTCCCTCAAATTTGCAGCTATCTATTTAGATTAATATCGTAACTCCCACTCTCTCACTCACTCTCTCCCTCTTTGTGTACCTCTGCCTTTCTCCAGAGATAGCCCTTACTCTCTCGCTCACACTTTCTCTGCTCTCTTTGCTCGGGGACTATAAATACAGGGCGCTACCGGCCCTCGGGCCTCATTTGGTGCGCGGAGTGGCTGCTGGCAACATCTATGGTGAAAGTGGAAGTGATCGTGATAATATCACCTGCATCTGGATAAACAGGAAGAAGCTCTACACTGGATGGAAGTAAACAATGACGTGTCATTAACTCTACACCGGATGGAAGTAAACATTGACGTGTCCCCAATTCCGGTAAGTCTTATATATATCCTATATATAGGTGTTTAAGGAGGAATCAGGTCTAAGTCTAGAATAAGTTGTGCTTGCTCTGCTCTGCATATCTTTTTCAATTAATTCCCTTCTTGACATAAACCCAAATACTTAATTTTAATTTAAAGTCTTATTAAACATATTTTCAAAGGTTTACTTTTAGTAACCAGCTTAATTTAATTAATTAATTAAAAACCTGACTTTGGCGCCACATTATTATACTCTTTGCATAATATAATATAATATATTATCAGTCAGAAGCTTGGAACGCAGTGAAGGAGTCATTTCCGACCCTATAAATCATATATATTCTTGATCAGCATCAACAGCTGAGTCGATCTAGCCATGTCCCGTAAAAAAAATAAATTTTCGTAAATTTTTCAACATTTTATAAGGGGTGTTACATCGTTAAAATTGTCGAGAACTTAAAAAAAAAATTAAATTTTTTTCATTTAATAACTAAATATGCAGATTTGTTAAGCCTATAAAAACCAGCACAGAACAGTTTTCCGAATTGAATTTAATGCTATTTTGGCTTAGTTATGATAATTGAAAAATTAATATTTACCCAAAATATTATCATATAAATATATCGATTTAATATACCTAAAATATGTTTATTTTTTAATTTCTTGTAGATATACGAAGGCCAAAAAGCCAATGGCTGCCAAAATATATATATGCTTCTGTTTGCAAACAAAATCTTAATCAATAAAGTTTCGACACCAAATGCACCCCGAGTTTTTAAAGTTTTCTTTGTCAACAATAAATAAAAGGTTTAGTTTTTTAAATATTTAAGCTATGTAAGTAAAATATTTTTATTAATTTGTTAATAAAAAACAATTTGATGTTAATATATGAAAATAATAAATAAAAATAATGTAAATAAATTTATATAAAAATAACAATTTAAATGAATGGTTTTAATTCATTTAATAACGATTTCATTTCTTTTTAATAAAATAAAACATTTTCCAGCTTACGACCATTGCTTCCATAGGAACGATCGGAAAATAATTAGAAAAACGGAATGAATAGGATCGGACGACTATATCATATAGTATCCATAGGAACGATCGGAAAATGTTTAAAAAATAATACAAACTCCTGTAGTTTTTAAGATATTTTCATCTAATTAAGATATGGATATTTTATATTATTTCAGAATTTCGGTTTTAATTTTACCAAGATCAGCCGACTATATCATATAGCTGCTATAGGAACAATCGTTAAATGTGAAGGAAATTCCAAAACTCCCCCTCTCCCTCTCACTCTCACTCTCACTCTCACTCTCTTAATGCACCGTGCAACGTATTTGGTATGGCTGTGCAGCTCAAGAGGCAGCCCTTACTCTCTATCTCTCTCTGCCTTTCTCCAGAGATAGCGCTTACGCTCCCGCTCACACATTCTCTGCTCTCTTCCCTCGGGGACTATAAATACAGGGCGCTACCGGCCCTCGGGCCTCATTCGGTGCGCGGAGTGCCTGCTGGCAACATCTATGGTGAAAGTGGAAGTGATCGTGATAATATCACCTGCATCTGGATAAACAGGAAGAAGCTCTACACCGGATGCAAGTAAACAATGACGTGTCCTTAATTCTTCACCGAATGGTAGTAAACAATGACGTGTCCTAAAATTCTTCAGCGGATGGAAGTAAACAATGACGCGTAATTAACTCTTCACCGGATCATAGTAAACAATGACGTGTCCTTAATTTCGGTAAATCTTAACTAAAGTGGGAGTGTTAGTGAACCAAATAACATCACCTGCACCCAACGCAATGCATCTGGATAAACAGGAAGAAGCTCTACGCACTGGATGGATGTAAACAATGACGTGTCCTCAATTCCGGTAAGTCTTACCAATGACAATTATATCATATATATATATAGATACTATCGGATGGATCAGGCCTGGGTGTATAATCAGCTATGCTCGCTTTGCACTTATTTTTAATTAATCCTTTTATTGCCATTAGCCCCGTTACTTAATTTTAATTTTAAGTGCATTTTAAAATATTAATTTAGTAAACCTAGAATAAACATATTTTAAAATTTCTTGTAGGTAAGCGAAGCTAAACCCAATGATTGCCAAAATATATATATGCTTCTGTTTACAATCAAAATCACAATCAATAAAGTTTCGACAGCGAACTTACCCCAAGTTTTGTCAAAAATTCATAAAAGGTTTAGTTTTTTAAATATTTGAACCCCATATGCTAATATCTTAATAAAAATTTGACATTAATGTATACAAATAATTAATAAAAATAACTGGCATAAAAATATATTAAAATAATAATTTAAAATAAATTGTTTTAGTTCATTTAATTAAATAAAATAAAGTAATGTTCATTTATATTAAATAAAATAAATTAATGTCCAGCTTACGGCCAAGGCAATCAAAACAAACGACGCCATTAGGACTTTCAGTCCGCTCTGCTTGAGGTGAGAGAGAGCGCTCTCTTTTCGTTTGTTTACATTTCAATATTAAGGTGAATTACCAGAAACACAACTAACAGCTAAGTATGGGCTCACCACAAACATGGGGGATAGGAGAAACAAAAGCAACAAATGATCTTTACTCACCACTTGTGTAATGGAAAAGTTCCAAGCGCAAGCGCTTTGCTGAATTCACCTCGTTCACCGGGACCTGTTGAATTCCTGGCGCATATATATCTGTTTCACTTGCACACAACAAAACACACTACAACAAAATAAAAAAATTTCACCGCACATATGCATTTGTTTCACTTGCACACGCGCACACACACACACGAACGCCTCCTTTGGTTGCGCAACTCAGGCGTATATTTTTCCGGCTTTAATTACGGATTTTCGCGCATAGATCCGATTGCGATCTGGTCATCCGCGTATATCACCGCCGACGTAGATTTTTCCGGTTGTTTTCCCGCTTTCCGCACCGTTTTCCTTCCTTTATTTACCCGTTTTCGTTCGCCCGACCGCAAATGGTGACTTGGAGCACCCGTTTTTTTTGTTGTATTTTTTTTCTTTGGCTGCAGCCTGTTAATGGCGTTCCTTGACTTCTCTGATATATGTTTTAGCACTGCCCACTAGTTAATCACTTGGGCAACACAATATTAACACGCGCGACTTGCTAATTTAGTTTATTTAATATTATTTGCTGCGAAAAACCCGGAGTGAAAAAACCACGACTGCCTTCGACGCTCGCCAGTGTTGAAATAATGAGCAGCTGCTTCGATCGTATGGTGAGTAGAGCGATCCGAAAGTGGTAGGCTTATAGCCCGTAAGCGACGCGTGCGAGAGAAGAGTACAGCTATATAAGCCAAAAAAAAAGGAGAAATATAAGGAATTCACCTTCCCGCCATTTCACTATGCCAATAAGCCAATTGTAAATAAATTAGCAATAAGAGGAGATTCCAGGTTAATTGTGTGGCCAGCAAGGCAACCAACCTTGGCTAACAACAGTAGACATGGCGACGAGCATGCGACCAATCCCAAACATATCCGGAAACCACCTAAAAGTACGAAAAACCAAGCGCCGAGATGTCCAGCTCCTGGCGAATGACCAGGAGAGTGGCAGGAGGCGCCACGTAAGGCGGCGGGCAGTGGGACTGGACATGAAATCGCATTTGGAGACGCAACTGGACATGGTGGAGGTGGTGGCGGTGGTGGTGGTGGTGTTGACCGGCCGACCGTCCACTCCGCAGTACAACAGAGCGGCACATCGATGGAACGAGTGGGCAGCGAGCTTGGGACGCAGTAAAGGAGTCATTTCCGACCCCATAAACCATATATATTCTTGATCAGCATCGTCAGGCAAATCTATCTAGCTATCTCCGACAAGAAAAGAAATGTTTTCAAAAATTTTAAATTTCTTGAGAAAAGCAAAGGGGTTACATCGTTAAAATTTTCAAAAATTGGCAAAAAAAAATTTGAACCTTCTAAAATTTTAAATTAAGTATGCAGATTTGTTAAACTAATAAAAACTAGCATAGAACAGCTTTTCGAATTGAAATTAATGCATTTTTGGCTGAGTTATGATATTTGAAAAACTTGGATTTACCCAAAAAAATTGCACACTAAAATGTCTTTATAATATTTTTAAGTATACGAAGCCAATGATTATCAAAATCTTAATTAATAAAGAATAAAATATTTGCAAAGTAAATTCGACCAAATATTCAACTGATATGTAATGTTACCCCTTACTATCATTGAAACGAATAAGAATTCCTCACTTTCACCCATATTCAATTTTAATTCATTAAAAATGATGTCGCAATAAATTATCACCAATGACTGCATCCATTTTGTATAGACAGATGTCGCCCACTTGAAAGTTAGGGGCTTATGCGACTTTACATCTGGTCGAGTGGTCATCGTAATAATCCTGATGCAATGAAGCGGGAGGACAAGTGGTAGGGCCGCTGTCCTGCCATGCAATCCATGCACATTTAATCCAATTTATCAGAAATATAAAAGCGACATATGCACCTAATTGAGGCTAATACGCTCGGACAGCAAATAGTTTTGCATCTCTTAATTGGCCCGTGCAGAGTTGGTGCTTTGTTTCGGCGGTAAATGTCAGCAGAGTGTGGGCACAAGTTCGAGCCAAAGGCAAAGGCCGAATGCTTTCCATTTAATTTAATATAACAAAGTTGGCAAAATGCACTGCGTCCCTAATTGATGGCTAACATGAGGGGACAATACTTTCGAAGCGCATAATTCGTTTGTTCTGATTCAACATCCTGATTGTGGTAAGCGTGCAGGAGACTGAAAGGCTTTCAATTAAGTAGTTTATGAACGGACAAAAGTTGCCCTTGGCATCCAAAGATATTCTACAAAATACAACAAAAAACATTCAATTTGAAACTTAATTTATATAAAACTTTACCTATAATTACATGCTACATCTAGACGCTATTTTTGGTTATGTCTAAAGTGGAAGGCGTGGTTATCGTTGGCGCTGCAGTGGCCAAACTCCTGCCCGTCATAATCCCAGGAGTGGGTCCAGTCTTGGATCGCTTGGGCAATGTGGCAGCCCGCAAGTAGGGATTGTCGATATTAGGATTCTCCAGTATTGCCTTATTCGTGGTTGAGTTGGGTTTGATCTCCAGTTCGGGCTTCTCCTCCTTGGACTTGTCGCCGTCCAGCTCCTCATTGTCACTGTCGCCCTCTTCGCCGTCTTCTGGAAATAGAGTGTAAATATACATAGAATAGGATTCATAGAGGCAAGTGCTCACCTTTGCTGGGCGCATCCTCTGTGCGATTGGCCACCAGGTAATGGTATTCCAGTTCCTCAAAGTCAAACACCTGATCCGTGGGATTCAAGGCGGCAGCGTAGGGCGGGAATGCGGGCTTGCAGGCAATCACTAATCGGAAAATTACACAATATAAGCAAAGTATAGAATATGATAAGAGTTGCAGGGCACTGACATGGAAACATGTTGTCCTCGGTGGGAAAGAGATTGTTCGTTTCCGTGGTCTTGCACAGGAACTTGGTGAGCGCCTTCTCGATGTCCCGCTTCTGGCAGGCGGCCTTCTCACGGATCGCCTCATATTCCGTCACCGGCTGCTTATGCGTGGGCGTTCTTATGTAGGCATGCGGATCCGGCATTGACGGGAAGTAGCTGGGCACGTAGTGTGGATGCGAGGACTTGCTGCCAGCTTGGAGCAGGCTTAGCTGACGCTGCTGGGTCTGTTGCGGTGGCAGGGGTATTGGCGCATAGACCTCCCTCCGCATATATGGATCCAGGCTGCTGACCGTAATGCCCATGTTAATGAGGGCCAGGCTTACATCGCCCACGGTGGGCATTGTGCGTCCGCTTAGCTCGCAGTAGTTGTGCGCCGAGTTCCCGATCTCCACGATAACTGGAAAGGTGAGGATGGATAACCACTAGGCGCTACATAACACTAGGTATGCAAATATTTATTTAGACTTACGCGCTTGCAGCATCTGGGTGAGCGTCTCCAGGCACTGGTTGCTTGCCTGGCCGGCGCCCTTGTCCTGTAGCAGCTGTGACACCGCCTTGTTCAGCAGCCGCCGGTAGGCATCCACGTTGGGCACATAAACAGCCTCTACCTTCTCCATAAGACTTTAAAATTAGGTTTGTTTACGTTGTTGACCAAAATATAAAAAAGCGGCGAAAATACTCGATTAAAAACAATGGCTGTCCGTCGTGGTGAAGTAGTGTTTCTATGCGGTAGCCATCCGGTCACACTTAGCTAGCATAGGGTTGCCCCATCGACCAATGATTCCCGGTCCATTTGGAAATAGTGGGAAAAATCGAATTTTATTTAATGGGGGTGTGCATGCAGATGCAGATACAGATATATAAACACTTTCCCCAATTTTTCAGCGTCTGTATGTTTACTTTACAAAATTAATTAAATTTCCCTTATCGACGCTAGTTCGGCACATTTCGCAAAATCCCCTTTGGCATATTTAAGCGACCGGGCCACGGTCACACCGTTCACCACACAACTTGCTGCTGCAAACGCGTTTTTTTTTTGTTGTACAAATCTAAAATACAAGAATTAGGATTAGTTAATGAGCTCCTAGTGTTTAACCAAGTACACCTTTAGTTAGCTTTACAGTTAGTTTCCCGTGGTAAGCGAATGCGACAGCAATTGCAATCAATTACCATTAGCGAAGAGGCGTGAGCGTGACGAAAAGAGAGCGGAGCAAAACAACTAGACGAGACAGGACTTGAATAGGAGACAGGAAAAAATCGAAATAGGCTGCTAAAATCTGCAGGCCAATGTCAATTGCAGCGCATTAATACATAAATCGTACAACTACACAGTCCAAGAGGAAAAGGTAAGTGTGGAATCGTGGTGAGGCGTGAAAATGCAATGCATTTTTTTTTCGTTTCGTTTCTTTTCGTTTTTTTTTTTCTTGTGTGTGCGCGGTGCTGCGTTTGTTTCTCTTTGTTGCTGCTCGCTCTCCGAGCAGCGCCGCTGCGATGCTGTATTGATTTTTTCGGTGGTGGGTGGCGGATAGGTGGTTGGCCCTGCTTCTCCTGTCATCCCGAGCCCCAGTTCGAGTCCCCCTGTCAAGCACGTTTCCCTTCATTAGTTCAGTATAGTCTTGCCTACAGTTCAGTAAAGCCGTTTCTCTATTTCTATTTTTTTAAACTCATCAGGCAACACCAACACGGTGAGTAGAAGCGAAAAAAAAAACAGAAATAACAAAAACGAAAGCGAATCCCGATAGTAACGCGGCGGTGAGAGAGAGCAAAACAGTTACAAAAGTGCAAAGTCTGTGTGTGTGTGTTCGTGCGCGAAGTGCGGTGTTTTTTTGTTCTTGTATTCTTCTAAAATTTCCATTTCTTACTGAAATTTTGTTATTTTTTCTTCTCTGTTTTGGGCATTTGCAGGAGCTAGGATTTAGAGCGATGTATGCAGGAACTTATGCACCCAACGCCGGTGGCGTGCAACAACACACGGGAGGCGGCTACTACGGTAACGGTGCCGCCGGAGGCGCAGGCGGTGGCAACGGACCTCGCCACGATCGTCCATATTATCCGCGCAATAATTTTGCCGGTGCCGGCGGTGCAGCGACCATAAATGGAGCGGCCGGTGCCGCTGGTAGCATGCACTTTGGCCAGCCGTACGGCGTAATGGCCTACGGCATCCAGAATGGCCTGGGCATGGGCGGAGCCGGTGGCAATCCATACCGTCAGCAGAATGGTGTGACCTTTACCGGAAATGGACTTGGAGGCGGTGCAGCCGGCGCAGGTGGTAACGGCGGTGGCTATGGCGGTCTGCGTGGCAAGAATCCCAGCTATGGACAGCGCTACCAGAAGCCGCACAACGGCGGCGGTGGTGGCTACCAGAGTAGTAACTACAATGCTGCCGCTCTGGGCATGCTATCCAAGGAGGAGCGCGCCGAGATTCAGCGCGAGAAGGCCAAGAATCCAGGACGAAACCTTGTTAAACCGACATGGAATAACCTGGAGCCGTTCCACAAGAACTTTTACGTAATACACCCCAACACATTGGCCAAGTCGGAGCAGGAGGTGGCCGATATCCGTCGCGAACTGGAGATTACCGTGTCTGGACAGGACCTACCCCATCCCGTGGTTAGCTTCGAAGAGAGCTCGCTGCCATGTCATGTCATTGATGAGATGACGCGCCAGGGCTTCACCAAGCCCACGGCCATCCAGTCGCAGGGATGGCCCATTGCCCTATCTGGACGCGATCTGGTGGGCATCGCACAGACAGGATCCGGTAAGACGCTGGCCTACATGCTGCCAGCCATTGTGCACATTTCTAAGCAGCCGCCCATTATGCGCGGCGAGGGACCCATCGCCTTGGTGCTGGCACCCACACGCGAGCTGGCCCAGCAGATCCAGTCGGTGGTGCGAGACTACGGACACCTGTGCAAGCCCGAAATACGCCACACGTGCATCTTTGGCGGCTCCTCCAAGGTGCCCCAGGCCCGTGACTTGGAGCGCGGCGTTGAGGTGATCATCGCTACACCCGGCCGTTTGATTGACTTTTTAGAGAATCGGAACACTAACCTACAGAGATGCACCTATCTGGTGCTGGACGAGGCGGACCGTATGCTGGACATGGGCTTCGAGCCCCAGATCCGAAAAATCATCGAACAGATTCGTCCCGATCGTCAGGTGGTCATGTGGTCCGCTACCTGGCCCAAAGAGGTGCAGGCCTTAGCAGGCGACTTCCTAAACGATTACATCGAAATTAACATTGGGTCGATGAGTTTGTCAGCCAATCACAACATTCGCCAGATAGTAGAGATATGCACCGAAATGGAGAAGCCACAGCGCTTAGTTCGTCTGCTCAAGGAGATTGCCCCAACCATCAATAATGGAAGCAACAATGGACATAAGATCATCATTTTTGTAGAGACCAAAATCCGGGTGAGTATTGCCAATTATTGGAAATTCCTAGAAAGAAAGTTAGAACGCGTCGTAGTCCACTGTCTGTCTGACATTACATCTCCAAGTCACAGTCCCAAGACTTGACTCTAGCCACGGCTTGGTGTAATTACAGCCTCTCCAACATCAGATTACATTCCTTTTAAAGTTGACTCAACCGTGGCCCTTGCATTTCTTCATTTAAATGTAAATACAAGACTCTTGTTTATATTTGAATTTTGCCTGGTTTTCTATAATTGAACTTGAGGCACCTGGCACACTTGAGTGCACATTTTCTTCATAAACAACTTGGTAAACTAACAACCTAACTTGTTTGCTTGCTTGAAATTAAAGCCCAAGTGCCACAGGATCTTGACAACATTCGTAGCCTATGTATTTCGATATTTAACTACTTAAAACCTAAAATATTCCCACCTTTCCATCTAGGTCGAGGAGATCCTACAAATTATTCGCACCGAGGGATATACCGCCACCTCCATTCACGGCGACAAGACCCAGAACGAGCGTGACTCTGTGCTGAAGGACTTCCGTAACGGCAAGTCGAATATTCTGATTGCCACCGATGTGGCCTCACGCGGCCTGGACGTTGAGGATTTGCAGTATGTGATTAACTATGATTATCCCAACTCCTCCGAGAATTATGTGCATCGCATCGGACGCACGGGACGGTGCCAGCAGCTAGGCACTGCGTATACCCTTTTTACACACGACAATGCCAAGCAGGCACGTGAATTGATCTCCGTGCTCGAGGAGGCGGGCCAGACGCCATCGCAAGCGCTTTTGGACCTCGCACGCTCAATGCCCAGCGGCGGATATCGTGGCAACAAACGCTGGAATAGCAATGGCAGCGGGGATCGCAATCATGGCGGTCACAATGGCGTCTATCAGCAGCGCAGCAGCAACCCCCTCAACTACCAGGCTGCCGGCGGTGGCTACAATAACAACCGCGGGGGACCACCAAACGGCGGTGGCTACCCACAGTATGCCGCTGGCGGCAATAACTATCAGCAGAACGGAGGCGGCGGCGGTTTAGGCAACAATTGGAACCGCATGAATCAAATGGGACAGGACGGAAGCAGTGGCGGTGGACAGCAGCAGCGGAACGGCAACGCCTATCGTCCGAGGGCTCCCTTCAACAGCGGCGGACCCCGAGCCATAATGGGCCACCAGGGTGGTGGTAATGGCGGTGGAGCCGGCGGAGCTGCCGGAGTCGGTGGCGGACCCCAGCCGCACATGGCGCACCAGCAGGGCGGTCAGTATATGCCGCAGGCATATCGCGGTCGTGGACAATTCGTGCCCCAAGGCGCCGGAGCTGGAGGCATGCCTCCGCGATTCCAGCAGTTACCGAAACGTGACTACCAGCAGCACTATCAGCCGCAGCAGCAGCAGCAGTTGGCCCAACAATTGGCCCAGCAACAGCAGCAGCCCAAACCACCGAAGGATGATGGCAACAACTATGCTCCGCCGCCGCAGCCGTCGGCAGTGACCACTCCATTGGTTCACTACACACCGGCCAATTCGCCACCGATTGCGGCCGTAGCAGCAGCCGCTGCCCGAGCAGCCGCTGTAGCCCCGGCACCGCCGAGTGCTGCCTACATGTACGAAGCTGCCGGGGTGCTGACCACAGCGGCGGCACCGGGCACCAATCCGTATGCCAATCAGTTTAGCATGCCGGCCACGTACTATGCTCAGCATCAGTTCACCCAGGTCACCGCTGGACCTGCGCCCGGGCCCGAGCAGGCCGGACAACTTTAAGGTGATAACAACAGCGTTAACGGCGATGATGGCGGACGATGACTACGACACGGACAAACAAAAAATATCTATATATAGCCCACAAAAACACACAATTTAGCCACTGCAAGAGACATGCAATCGGAATGCATATGATTTTGAAAGAAATGAAGAAGATAGTTTTGCAAACATAAAAGAGCAAACAGTAACACCTTGTTTTCCTTTTATTTTTTGTACGTCCTTTCACTATTTGCTACTCGTACTACTTATTACTACAACTACTACTATTGATAGTATCCCCTTTTGTTGTGTTCTCTAACGCGGCGATTCAGAAGCGCCTTACCTTGACCTTACATTATCTTTTATTTACTGTTACTGCTGTTGGCAAAAACGGCCTCCAAACATCGACATCAAGCGGTGAGTGTTTAGTGTGCGTTTATCCTTGGAATAATTGTTAATTATATCACTTCTTTGATTGTTGCACAGCCATTAATGCTACGGATTGGACCGGAGAGCAAGCGCGCCCGTGGAATATAGGACAGAAAAGTAGGAACCCACTTTGGCCTCAATGAGGTAATACACCAAACAAAACAAGAACAACTCGAAAATGAAAATTAAAACTAGTTTTTAAGCTTTTCCAAAAACACCAAACACACACACACACACACAACACACATATTCTGACAGTTGCATGTTATTCGAATGATTAGAAGGAAAATATGTAGGGTTTAACATCATTTTACCCCTTTCCGGCCAGTAATTTTGGGCAAAACGAGAGATATATATATCTAATTTTGTTAACAAACAGACACACTATTAGTTAAGTGATATTCATGTGTATTAGCCATTACACGAGAAACTACACCAACGATTTGAACAAATGTTACAACAAAATGAAAAAGGGAAATGAATACGAAGAAATAAGAAGAAACCCTTTCACTAACTTGGTTGGTATGAAATGAACGGTTTGCTTATAATAACAACACATCCAAATATATATGCATACAAGTCGAATTTTTTTTTTTTTAATATTGTATCCGAAAAGGCGACAAATTTGCAAACAAACAATTACAACAAAGGGAAAATTGAAGCTCTTAAAAACGGTATTCCAACACACAATTTCCATTTCAATTTCAAGTTAAACGTAGCGAGCGGCTGATCATAAAAATACATCTATATCTATATTATATTGCTTTTTTTTTGGCATTTTGCGCAACACGAGATACAAAAAAGGAGCATATATTTTTTTTTCGAGGAAGGGCAGCGCTGCTTTGGTAGGAAGTATGTAAAGAAACTAACTGACAAACAATCGATGATAGCCGGACAAATTGAGAACCCACAAACACAACAATTACATCACAAAGACACACCAAGCACCACACACACACACACACTTACACATTTTTAAGATTTATCATTTAATTTCCCATTTTGATGCAGATTCGAGCTTGATTTAATGGAGATTGAAGCGAAAAACCCCCTATTTTGTTGAGTAGAAATGTAGGCCCCTCTGAAAACTAGGCTAGAGCGGGAATACCATCGATTTTTATTGATCGATCCCTTCCAACTCCATCCCTAGACCCTTGAAACTTAACTTAATTCTCCACACAACACAACATTCGCATGAATTATACAAAAAAGGAGGTTTTTTCAAAAGTTCTATGCAAATACTTGAAAACTAGAAATATATATATATATTAAATACTTTTCAAATATTCCAAGTTCAACGAGAATTGACCAAAGAACAAAAGATTACAGAATCAGTTGAAAACGAATTATAAATGCGAATAAAATTAAATTCAAGAAAGTGAAGAAAAAGAAAAGACGCCACATTCATCCATAAGAAGAATCGAAAGAAGAGTCGAAGGAAAAGAACACACAAGAGGGAAGAAGAACGAATGACAAAATGCCAAGCAATGCCACACGAAAATAATGATAATAATAATACAGCAAACATAATGCATACTTCTGACTATTCCAAATGAGAAACAAAACAAAAAATGAAGCTCTTTTTTCCCCAATTCCCGCATAGATTATGTTGTAATTTCTTGTATTCATTTTGTTTATTAGTATTACCCTTTTGGCCGTTCAGAGAGCTCAATGCACGGGCGTGCAGTAGTAGTGGGCGTAGTAGTAACATTAACCAATTGGCAGCTCCACAATGATAGCAGTTATATAGTCTTAAAATCGTACAATCCATTGTTAAGTGCAGAGCCGTGTTCGATCGTGTCTGTCTGTCCGAGCCATGCCAACCAGAAACACAAGGTTGTTGTGCTAGCACACAGTTTGCGTTGTCCTTAAGCAGTACAAAGAAAAATCGAAGCCGATTAATCGAAATCGGTATCGGGATCGAATTCTTCGTTTGAAGAATAAGGGGTAACGTAATTCTACACAGGGGAGAACACGAAGAAGTAAACACACAAAGCAAATAGATGAAAATTATGTAGATTATATTTATATATATATTTGTTAGCCGAAAAAAAAAAATACACTGGGGGCGTGAAGGGAACATTTCTACAAATTCATGCATTCTGTTTTTTAAATTTATTAGTTTTCTACTTATGAAACGTTTCTTAGCATATATCAAGATTAAAACAATGGAAGCTAGGAAAAGGCTTAGGGGATATTTATATATGTATGTATATCGTCAACACAAGGATCTCTTTGAAGCGAATTAAACCAATTATTGGGGGTCGAAGGGGAGACTATTTCGATATTTTGATATTTATATATGTCCACTGGGCGGCAACAGCAGGAGAAGGAGAAGGGGGAGGATTATGAGGAGTAATCAGGATGATAGACCATTTTAGATTTTCCCTTATGTCCCAAATTTATTCTCGGGTTATACATAAATCACCAGAGACTTGAAATCCCTTTAAAAATGTGTCTAAAATGAATATTTTGAGGTACCAAAATAAGTGTATATTTGTTTTTTACTATGTATCTTTTTGTAGCATTGTTTACGATACTTTTTGAGGGGATTTGAAACCCCTGGTGATTTTCATATTAGTTTTTTGCTTACTTGTTGGAATGAGAGCAATCCTTAGATTATTGTTATGGGGTCCTGGGTTTTGTCATTTCCTCCTTTGAGTCTCCTCTTAGAGGGTAATCAACCAACTGCAACCGAATAATATTTGTATTTTTATTTTTTTGTATGTAATCTAGAATTGAATTGTCGTCTGTCCGACGTGAGAGAAGGGTGTAAAGTTCTGATAATTTTTATTTTTCTTACTTTTTAATTATGATTTCGATGCAACCGAATTGTGATGATGTGATAGACTTATATAAACAAAACGAAAATACAAAAGTACTAATTAATAACCAATTTAAATGAAGTAACGCAGCGGCCTCCGAAAAAAGGCCTGGCCAAAAACTGAAACTGAAACTGATACTGAAACTAAGAAAAACTGAAACTGACGCAGAGAGTAACTGCATCTGGATCTGAATCAGTGTCTGGATCAGAAGAGAAATATGAATATATGTTATGTATTTGTATTATTGTCGTTGTCGTTGTCGCTTATATAGACAATGTCTGATGGCTACAATATATGTATTATGGATGACTTGAGGCATACATTCTTTTTTTGAAGAAATAAAACTATAGTGCGCGATATTTGTATTGTATTTATCTATAAGTTGTGTACACAAGCACACACTGCGAAACAAACAAACCAAACAACAAACAAACAAACAAACAAAAAAAAAGCAAAAAGAATTAAAAAAGAAAAACACGGGAAACACACGAAACCAAACCGAAACAAAGAAAATAACGAGAAAAAAAGAGCAAAAGATGTTGAAACTACTAATTCACTGATCACCTAACGTGAATATCCAACCCCGTACTCGCTTTCACATAATCTAGAGACATATTCTTAACATTGCAGTTGCATAAACGTATCAGTTAACATATCCATCAAAGCGAAAGAGCTATCAGATGGAAGCTGGCCGCGCAGACTCACCTCATCAGACACACCCTCCAATAGGCACAACCAAATTTGGTAGATGATCATCATAAGGAGGGCGGTAACGGCACAGCAACCGGAACCGGAACTTGCTCGACTCCCAGTTGAAAAAACGTCAGAATGCAGCTCTCTCGCTCTCTCTATCCCATTCTATCTTTGTCTCTCAGTCCCGTTATATATGTATATCGATATACGTATGTAGCTTTCTCTGTCTCGCAGTCTCCAAGTCTCAGTGGCTCTTCTTAAACAATAGATTTAAATCGATAGAAATTCGCATAGACATATATATTTTTGAAAGTATAGAAATGCAACTTTTGAAAAATGCAACCAAAAAAAGGAAAAACGAAAGACTAAAGCCAAAAACAAGTGAATTTAATTGTTTTGAACAAGGAACAATAAAATAACACGTGAGGCTCCCACAAAAAAAATAAAAAATAAAAAATAAACTAAATATGGAACACGCAAATAAGTGCCGTTAATTCGATAGTTTGTATAGCTGTTTATTAGTTTTGTTTCCTTTTGTGTTCGAGATCCAAAAAGGACATCCACAAACACACACATACAACAAACTCGTTTTTGGTTTAGTTTTAGTTTTTCTTCGTTCCTTGTTTATTTTTTGATTGTTTTTGTTTTAAGCCTTTTGTTTGTAAACTAAAAATATATATACATTGTACAGATATGTATGTATGTATGTATGTCGTAGGCGATAAAGTGAATTGCATTTACCGTTGCAGTGCGTTTCGCACAAGTGCCAAAAATGCAAAGAAAAACAAACACATGGACACAACCCCCCACTTTCACACCAACACCCACGCTCTCTCACCTACACACACACACACACACGCTACACCCACACACGCTACAACCACACATTTCTTGTATGATGATACAAACAAACATATTTACATACAAAACCTACAAACAAGCATACTTTTAAGCGCCAAAGTTAGGAGCGGCTTTTGAGGTCCGATATTGATATCAACCCACAAAAAAAAACGAGGAGGTTGAATATAAACAAAAATTGAAGAAAACAAAACGTTAGAACAAATTATTAAGACGCAGCAGCCACAGATCGTAAGTTATAAGCTAAATTTGTATTCGGCCGCAAATCAAGGAGCAGAAGGAACTTAAACTTAAAAGTAAAAAAGAAAAGTTTAAACCAAAACCCATTGTGATAACAGCTGCGTAACGAAACACGTTAGAAACCTTATGACGATAGAAAGACGAAGAATGTTTTATTGTCATTTACTTACATACTTACTTGTATTTCGATAGCAATTCGATAAGTGCAAATCTTGAGGGGCGGGCACCAGACCCCATCCCCCATCCCCCATTCCCCATTCCCCACTCCCCCACTGAGTCCTAAATAATAAAAATTCAATCAAAAAAGCAAAGCAAGCCAACAATTTATCCAAACTAGTTTTTAAACGAACATAGCCTCACTTGAAGCACACACAAAAACACGTATTTTATTGATTTAAATAGAATTATAAAGGAGAAGAATGAGGAAAACATGAGAACTTTTCTTGATTTTCATTTGTTGTGTTGATCAATGCAAATTTTAGCAAAAAAGAAACGTTATATGAGAATTCAAGAGGAAAATGCAAATTCTTAGCCATTTCGAACGAGCGTGCATTTAGAACCTTACATCAAATATATTAAAAGCGAACCATTTGAATAATTTCTAATATTACCATAGATCACTAACACAAATGCAACTGAGGAGTCAGAATCAGGCGATGGTGATGATGAAGAAAATGAAGATGGTGATGATGATGAAGAAAAAGCAGACAGTAATGTTTAATTCGAAATGTAGACGGGAAGAGAAGAAGCTAAGCAAACGAGTTTCAATAAATGTTTGCGGCTTAAGCTTAAGTTAGCACACACACACACACATACACACACAATATTATATTAATTATTACAAAACTATATATATATATATACATTAATATATATAATATATGCAATTTAATGCATATTTGCACCTCCCCTTTCTCCGTCAAACGAAGAAATACAAAAAAACACAAAAAAATAATCAAGAATCGTAGACGGCGGACTGGGGAAAAAACTAATGGAGAAACCCTAAATTGTAATCAATTTACCTATCTTATTTACTACATATGTATACCCATAAAGAACCCCCGTCCCCCCTTTGGAAAACGAACTCCAAAATCCCTCACCCAAAAAAAAAAAAATGTTAAACACTTAACGTATGAAACGCATAAATATAATAAATATGTAAACGGGCATGTTTACAAAACAAAAAACGAAATGGATATCTTCTATGTAATAAATAAACGCCAACAAAATCACTTTTAAATCATTTAAATCTGTATCTGTATTCTTTGAATTGTGTTTTAGGGAGTTCCCTTTGTCTCACAATAAAATTGACGTTTTTTAATATACATATATAGTCAAGGATCGTAAGTATTTCAAAAAACATATGAATATATACAGAAAGCAACAATTTCGTATCAAGACAACCATAATTTCTTCTAATTGATATCGAAGAGGATCTACAAAAGTCCCGAAGGCAATAAATAAACAACCCATTCAGATCACATTTCCCATAATAATAATACTCTTTATTGAAACGCCCACACAAGCACACACACACGGACTCCGACTTCCACTTGGCCAGCAGATCGGATAAAAGGTGCAGGCGCTTGCTGGACTCATGATGGGCAGGCTCTCCAAGACAAATATATGTATATTTATATGGTATGTATTAGATCCGTCCAAGGGCTGGGATAACGAAGCACACAACATCAATAGGTAGCTTAGGTTCGATACGAATGGCTCGGACCTTCGAACAGATAAGAGAACTTGGTAAATACGCCCGAGAGAGTGTGGCGAGAAAACACAGAACACAGCTTTAGCACATACATATTGAGGTGTATAAATGTTTTAGATCATTATTTGTATTGGTATAATTAACATCCAAATATCCAAAGCGTAGACATACAGACAGGACCCGCGACAGACACAGACGATTAAACATCGGGGGGGTTAGCGGGCAGGAGGGGCTTACAAACATCTAGCTAAATGGCCGTTGGCCGTCCAGCTTTATCTATCCGTACAGTATAGTATATGTTTTATATATAAAATTAACTAATTCATTTATAAAAAGCAAGCAAACTCCAGGCCACGCTGTTCCCTTGCCGTTTGTTGTGTTGTTTCTTTGTTGGTGTTATCCTTTGTGTGGTCTTTTTTGATTTGCATTTGCAACTGGTGTTCCTGTTCCTATTCCTGTTCCTGTTTACCAGCATGAGTATGGGTTTGTGTGTGAGGAGTAGATACAAGGGCAATGCGATGGGGCCTAGGTGAAGCTGCAGCACGAGTTCGTCTTTTTCGCAGTCTTGTAGAAGGCCTTGCTCTGCAGCGACAGCTTCTCCGACTTGCTGACCATGTCGTCCAGCTTCTCACCGCGCTCCAGCACCGCCTCGATAGTGTTCTTCAGTATGATTTTTGTCTCGTCCAGGTCGTTTTGCATTTTTGTAAGGGGATCTGCCTCGACGGGATTCTGGTAGCGCGCCAGAAAGGCAGGCAGCACGTCGAACGAGATGGTGGCTTCTGAGCCATTGGGCCACTGATCTGCCGACACCTTGGCCGTGAAGTCATCGAGGATCTTTGTGATGAGCGTATGTGCCACACGGTGTGGATATTCGTGGTCTGCAATGAGCACACCAGCCAAATTGTCCGCCCGCACATAGACATGGCACATGTAGGCGTCCTGCTTCACCGACTGCCGCAGGGCCGGCTGTGTGCGCTCCACAATCGTTTTGGAGGCGAAGCTGCGGCGAATGGAAAGGGGAGAGCAACAAGAGTGGAGTGAAGCGATTGATTGAGCCTGCGCCGTCGCATCCCACATGCATACTCACGTCATGAACTCGTTAACAGTGCCACGTTGGAAAAAGGAGAAGGACTGCAGGTCGGACGTTGTCTTCAGCAGGCGTGCCTCGCTGGCGCCCTTGTGGAAGATGCTCAACGCAAATAGCTTGACCATGGTTCACGGCTGCGTAGATCTGCGGGCTGGCGTTGACTTTCGAAACTGCTGGCTGGCTGGTTACTCCACTCGTCGGCAACTGGCAGGTGGCGCTGCGGTGTCCCGTGCTGCTCCGGTGGGTGGGTTTCAGTTGGGGCAAACTCTAGCGGTCGCTGGCATTCGTGGGAAAGCGACAAGTGCGTTTGTTTGACGCTGTAAATCTCGGTTCCGTACGAATATGAATGTGTCAGCTAATTGGGGATGGTACGGAAACAAGCACTAGGAGTGAGACGGCGCAGCGATATTAATCGAACATTGTCTGTGCGTGATATCAACATTCCAAATGGAATCAATTCAGCTAAATGCCTTTTAATGAAGAACAAAAATAAATAGGGTAAATATAAATATATTAAGTTTTAAAAGCAATAAATCAAATAAGTTTTTGTTTTATATATTAGAGTCTCGATAGTATCGGTCACCTCGGTAGCATCGATACCTCAAAACAATAAACATCGCCATCAAATTATCGGCGGCATTGGTTATAACGGCTTTTCGGCCATTGCAATTTGCAATTTCACAAAGCTGTTTATCTTAAAAAGAAACAGAAAATAAGCAAATGTCGAAGCGCGGAAAGTTCCTGCTCCTGGCGGACATGCGGCCCACGATGACGCACTTCTCCACTGTGGCACTAATTGTTTCAAAGTCGTCGCCAAACATCTTTTACGACAAAATGAGTGGCACCGAGCGCGGAGTGCTCACCTTGACTATCCGCGATTCGCCGCTTCATCTCACCAATTGCAAATGCTGGGGCCAGCGGGCTTGCGTGGAGGAGTACTCCGCCATGCTGCACATTGGCCATGTCGTGGACATCGTGGGCGCCAAGGTTATGTCCAGTGCGATAATTTCTTCAAAGGAGCAGAAGCGTTACCAGCCGCAGGGCACTCTTACCTGTGTCCTGGTGGTCAACGAGGGATCCGGCTACTTAGTGCGTCATGACAGCGACGACTCCGCTCCTGTGATAGCCCTGCAGCAACTCCTCCATCTTCCCATCAAGCCTCTGGGCGCAGCCCTCAAGCTGGCGGATGTGCGTTCCGGCTTGATCGGCGGAGGTGGGGCCAGCTCCTTTGTGGATCTGCTGGTCGTGGTAGCCGCCATTCGTCCACTGCGTGAGATAAAGCGCAAATCTCCGGTGGCATCCGGCAAGACACAGGATCCGCTGCACTGCTTGGAGGTTGTAGTGATCGATGCCAGCTATCCGGAGGGCATGCTGCTCACCATCTGGCAAGCAGACTGGATACGCCGTGCCCAACGCTGGCAGCCTCGCCACACCGTTCTCCATTTGGTAGACGTGCGGGTCTCTCACTCCGATTACCATCGCTGTCCGGTGCTGTCCCATTCACACGGCACGCTCATCTGCGAAGATCCCCAAGTAGCCGGTGTGGATTGTAGTCGGCTGCTGGCCTTTGCTGCATCGCAGCCCGTCAGGTCTTTTGATGGCTACGCCCACACGGAGCTGGACAACTTGCCATCAGGTTAGTTACAGAGAGTCCTTGTGGTTTTTTACTCATTCGTTATCTTCTTTCTTAGCTGCCAGCATTCGGAGCCAGATGACAGTGCGGCAGATCTATAGCCGCGCTGAGGGCGAACTGCAGGATACCTCACAGGATCAGTTCACCGCCGTGCTGTACGGAATGGTCACTAAGCTTGACCTGGATGGCTTCGTTCCCAATATAAGCCGAAAGTGGCAAGTATTTAGGGAACGGTGATGATTCATAATCTCGATAATAATATCCATACTTTCAGCACCGTCTGCCAACGCCCCATACCCAGAGGCCTCGAGGATTGCGCCACCGAAGCCTGCCAGATAGAGTTCCTGCTGGGCAATGATGGCCCCCGGACTAACCGATACTTCAACATAAATATTCATTTCTCCGATCAAACGGGCAGCCTGCTAGAGGCTCGTTTAGCGGGCAATCCCGCAGAACGGATCCTGGGCCTCGAAGCAGAGCACTTTGACCGGCTGACGGAGCGTGAAAAGAGCGACCTGAAGTGGCGGTTCCTCTTGAAGTACTTTGAAGCGAGACTGCTGGTGAAGAAGCCCGTTGGAATGCGCAGGAACCTGGTAATTGTGGTCGTTGACATGCAGGTAATACCCCTTGCGAAACTAGTCGAGAATATGTCCGTGTTCTAGGGCCCAAGGAACCCAATGAATAGTCTGGTTGAATCTACATAAATAGCGATTTATATTTCGCACATTTTTCACACACGCACATAAAAGTGTACATAAAATAGATTGAAAGCGCCTCTAGAAAGTCTGCCTGGGGAGATGTGGGTATATTTGCTTAGTGGGATACATTTGTTTGGCTCACAGGGATCTAATCTAGTGAGTGGGCCGAGGGGAGTCGCCTCCGCCCAGTGCTCGGTGTAGTGTGGTGCGTCTCGCGGTCCATAAAACAGTTCTCTGGCCTGACAAGCATCGCAATAATTTCATTTTAAAGGCAACTCTTACATTTAATTCAACCAACCAACGCTTAATATTATTATTAACCTTTTCTTAGCTAAATACCGATTATTTTGATGACTAACTTAAATAGTAAAGGGTAAAAAATAAATGTAAACGCATAAGAAAAGGCAGTTTAAATAAAATTCGATCAGTTTTTATTTGGAAAAAAACAAAAGGCAACTCTAGCTTAACTTAAAATTCCTCTAAGTAAAAAATAAATAAATTGAATCGAACAAAAGCTTTGACCTCTCTAATCTAGACCTGACTTTAAAGCCTGTGTCCTAAGTGTGAACCCCTTGGGGCTCTTGCCTCTAAATCAAAATCTCACACCGTTGTGACCTTAGGATCCTTTGGGGATGCAGCACGGGGAATCTGCTACTATAAACTATATGCTTGCTAATCAAGACCCGCGACGGAGCCTATCCGAGTATAAACAACGATTTTGGTACAATGCTTAATACTGACCTACACGTATACAGACATATGTACAGACATATACACATATACTTACATACATACAGACATAACAAACTTGGACATGGGACAAACGGGGAAGGAATCATCATTAACAATGGACAGAAATCATTGGGATGTGCGGTGCGGCAGGGGGATACACTTCAGCACCGTCTGCATTTGTACAGGGAATGATAACTGGTAACTACTACTGAGTAACTATTCTTTGTAATCCATCTCCGACAGCGACAGAGAGAGCATTTAACGAATCAACGTAAAAACTTAAAACAAAAAAATATATATTAAAACGAAGAGCTACCAGAAGCTGATCAGAGCTTCATGGAGATACTAGGAGCTACTTCGAAGCCACCGGGAGCTATTTGAAGCTACCAGGAGCTACTTGAAGCTACTTGGAGCTGCTCGCTTGGTGCAGGTGGTGGTGGGATCCAAGGTGGTAGTGCGATTGCTGATGCGCTACTCCTCCGCCGCCGCCGCCCAAGGAGTTGCTGCTCGTTGACGAACCAATCGAGGCCGATGAGGTCGATCCCTGATGATTCTGCCCAGTTGATGTACTATGTCCGCCTCCACCTCCGCCGCCTGTGCCACTGTGGCTTAGGGAAGGCAACGACGCAGCCGCTGTGGCCGCTGCCAGGGTCGCTGCAGCCGAAGCAGCCGCCGCTCCAGCCGTTGCCGTATTCAGCTTGGAGCCATTCGTATTCGTCACACGCAGCTGGCGGATCTCGGGAAAGAATTCAATCATGAGTATCTCCAGCAGTTCCTAGAACAACAATTAATGAAAGTTAAACCAAAAAGGACACAAAGTGCGCAAAAAACTTACGTAGAAAAGCTGCTTGTTGTAGGCGGGATTCTGCAGGGCCTCAAACACCTTGAGGACACCTCGTTTGGCCGCCTGGGCGCCGACCAGATTGCACAGCACCTCAGGTATATGGTCGGTGAGCAAGGCCTTGGCCGCCGTGCTGGTCATTTCACGCATATCCTCCGAACGCGCTGGATAGGCGGACGCAAGGACTCCGCCCGGCCAAAAGGACTTGAGGATGGCCGAGAAGTAGTTGTGCAGCATGGACTCCTCGAACAGATAGGCCACCGACTCACGGATTTGCCGATTGATCGTCCGTCCGTATGTTATCTGAACAAATGAGATGAGGCTCTTGCGCAACCATTTGAACACACCGCCCATGTCGAAGATTTCGCCCATCAGTGCGTACATGGGCTCCGCTATCGAGTCCTTGCTGTCCAGATCCGTTGGCAGGAGCTTTGCCTCGCCCCCAGACTCACCGTCCAGATACGTGGAAATGTCGTCGTCGTCGCGCTGCAGCCCCCAGAAGGGATCGGTGGCTCGGCTGGTGGCCGCATCGTGCGCCTTCCCCGCATCGCTGCGGAAAAGCGTAGACAGTGAGAACTTGGACTTCTTCGGCGAAGGCAACGACTGCTTCAAGTGATCCGAGCTGGGGCTGAGGAACGTATAGATGGCTTCGCTGCCATTCAGATGGTCGTCCTCCAGAATGAACTGAAAGGGGAAGTGAAATAGTGAGTATTTCTAAATCAAATTAACTTTAAGTGTCCACTTACATTGAGAAACTTCTGGATCTGTGCCTTGGCCTTCTCTTGGCCATGTCGGTCGGTCTTCAAAAAGAAGAACTTGAAATTCGTGGGCAGGTCAAGAGCTTTCAGGTTAGAGCTAACATGCCGCAGCTTCCTTTGCAGCTCCTGCAAAGAGGACCTTGATTAGTTTTAAGAATAAGAGGGGGTGTGGAATACCAACATGAACTTGGTTAAGGGAACGCATCACCACCCAGCCGCTGGAGATGCCTGAGGGCCGCCTGCGTTGATGGACGCTGGTGTGGACACCACCAGTGTCGCCGTTTTTCGCTGAAGGTTGAGAGGGAGCATTAATGTCCTCATCCACATGCACCAGTATCATGAACTGCAGCGATTCCTTCTCATCGGATACCTAACAATTGACGAGTTAATTTAGCGTTAAAAGGAAAGAGACTGCATCTCGCTCCAGCACTCACCTCCACACTCTGAATGGTGGCCTTCCACTTGCCCAGGTGCTCCGTCCAGGCGTCTGTCCTCCGCAGATGTGCCTCCGTCTGACGCTTCTCACTCTTCAGCCACTCCATCTCCTTCTCAAGAATGGAGAGCACCTTGGACTCTGGCTTCACCGAATACTTGAGGGCGTCCAGCGCCTGGTTCTTTTTGTCGATGCGTTCCTGTATCTGCTCTAGCTTCCGTCGTGCGTACGAGGTGTGCGCAGCCACATCGATGGCACCGCCACCACCACTACCACCTCCACCGCCGAGACCACCGCCATTGCAGCCATCTGTACCACCACCCGCACCCTGGTCATCGGCCAGCGCCTCTGGCGTATCGTGGCACATTAGAAGCGTGGGATCGGCAATCTCGTTCGAGTCTAGGGCCTCCTTAAGCTGGCGATACTGGTCGCTCAGCACGAACGGAGGATAATACTTCTCCTCCAGGGTGCGCAGCACATTCCGTTGAATGTCGTAGAAAATATCCGGGTCGGCGTCACCCAGCAGGAACGTCTCGATCAGCTTGCGCTCATGCTTATCAATCTGTATCTCCGACTTGGGCACCCGAATGTATGTGTAGAATATCTCCGTGCCCAGCTGATGGCTAGCCGACTTGTGCGCGTGCTTGATCTCCTCAACGGCCAAATAGAATCCAATCAAAGCGCTTGCTTTGAGTGGCTCCAGGAACAAGGTGAAGTAGCGCCGGCCCACTGCTGTGTTTAGAATCTCTACCAGCGTAAGATCCTGAGTGGTGATATAAATATATATATAAATATAAAGAAAAATCTCTCAAGACCTTGGGTATTATAGAAAGTGACAAAGAGCTAAGCGGTTATATACACACACTACATAGTTCAGTAGAAATTATATATAATTTGCTTATTTTCACGATTTCGTGCAGCTAATAGGATATATAATATCCACATCACTTACAATATCGCTGGAGTAGTTGCCATTCCAACCGAACTTGGCCAGATTCTTCTCGCACTCGGACTTGGCCATCGTTAGCTGGCGAACGTAGCGCTTCAGCCGCACGGCAGCTGTGTGCTCCGACTTGGTCAGCGAGTGATCCTCATGATCCGGATCGAGGCCCTTGGCCCGCTGCAGATTCTGCATGGTTGTAGCATGCATCAGATCGTTCACGATGCTCTTGCGTATAAGCGACAGCTCCTCCAGACTGCCCGAGTTGTTGATGATCTTGAGGAAGTCCTCGAAGCTGGCGGCGTACTCGTAGCTCCGTTTACTCATAGCTGCCGCGGCCAGACGAGTCTCGATGTTCTGCACCACCTTCTGGTTGATGTAATCGGGGGATGTCAGCATCTTGATCATGGGAAAGAAGACTGCAATAGGGGATATAGTTATACAATCTCTTTTGGGAAGCTGGGAAGCTGTTTACTCACTCTTGTAGGACAGAATCTCGCTGAGCAGGACCTTCAGAGGGGGCAGGGAATAGCCGCGTGGCAGCAGCAGGATCACCATAATCTCACACAGCTTGCGCAGGAACTCCATCTCCATGTCTTCGTCGGCCAGGTACGAGTTGGTGCTAAAAACAGGAGCCGAATTGGTCTCCGACCTATGGAAAAATACAAGAGTTTTTCCATGAGTATATGTATGTACACACTTCGAAACCTTATTTTATAAATTATATCTACAACACAAAATATGAGTCATTTATAGAGCAGATCTGATAACAAGAACACCTGGATTTTATACTATTGGCGTTGAATAGTGCTTGGAAAATATGTATAATGATGATAGGCGTGCCTCAACCACCAATTTCAGCTTTTTTATTGCAAATTTCATGACTTACGAGTGACGCATATAAATTACATTTAATTTAATTTTGCGCACTACATTTTATCATGACTTGGCATTAAAAAAGTCATTAAGAAAACAGATAAAATATTAATATGGATTCCATAAGTAGAACACAAAGGAGCAAAATATCTTATTATATCGCTGTATTATCTTATCTTTGTGTGCCTTTGTATTAAGCAGGATTCAGAAGTGTATTTATCGTAATCTCTAATCGTATTTGACCCTAAAAAGTGATTTGAGAAGGCTTTCTGCAAGCATTAACTGGAAACAGGTGAGAATTCAAATACTCACGCCCTGGCCTCTGCTATGCGAATCTTTTCCAGATGCACCGTCACCCGATTCACCATATCCACTGCTATAATCTTGGCTGCATCCATTTTGGTAGCTCGCTCGTGTATCTTCTGAATTGCATTCCACAGATCCTCGCGCACCACATCGTTAATAAGCTTGGGCTTGGTGACCACATATCTAAAATATATATCAAACAATAAATATATATCCATTAGGACTAACAGAAACAGAGAGACTCACCCCAACCAGGGCAACATAAAGTCACGCAGCACATACTCAATGATCTGCTGCAGCTGCAGGTCCACCGTCTTGCCAAAGATTAGCGGCAGATTCGATGGATTCTTGATGGGCTTGGGCAGATCAAAAATGTTGCTTCTGAACGAGACAAGACAAGAGTCAGAGAAGATTGATAAGTTATTAAGGCTGCGCTTAAGGAGCAAAGTCCAGCGAGGGGCCGTCACTCACTTGGTGGCATTGTAGAGCAGTCGCGAGGGCACGCGACTTGGTCGCGTCGGCTCATTGGTGGTGAATATATAATGGATATAGACGGTGCCGGCCACAGCTGTCGGGGGGCGAGAGAAATAGATAAGAACAATTAGATATTTGGACTTTTTGGACTTAATTATGCCAGCGATTGGCCCGTGATTGGACGCATGGACTGGACTGGGGGCTGGTGGGTGAGTCATTCCATACTTCTGGCCATCGGCATATCTTACCCGCAAAGACCAGCACCAGGGAATAGACGACGAAGGCGAAGAACAGAAAGAAGGTCGGATAATACCAGATGACGGCCAGCAGTGTCATGGTGATGCCGGAAACGATAATCCTCCAATTTAATTGCAGTGCACGTAGGACCCTGGAAATGAAATGCATATTATTAAGGAAGCAGGACTGGGCACAAGGACACTTACCTGGTGACCACAATCGTTAGGCGCTGCGTGACCGTGGCTGGTGGCTCTGGCTCAATGGGAAACAAGGGCAGGCGCTGCCCTGACCGCTGCTCGGTGACCATGGCCATGGTGGTCTATCGGTGGTGTGTGTGGTCCGCTGTCCACTGTCCGTGCTCCGTGCTTTGTTGTCCGGCAGTTCTCCGGTAATCACTGCCCTTTTTCACTTGTGAATCTTTGATGAGTTTCAAACATTTTCAACGACAGACCGATGCCATCGACTATTGCTGCCGGGGATTCGATTTCTGGCGTGTTAGCGGGCGGGCTCAACTTTGGGCCGTCGTCGGCGGCGTCGTCATTAAAAATAGTTCTCAATTGCGTCAATTCCGCTTTTGGTTTCGGTTTCTTCCTGCCTTCCGCTTCCTCCTTCTCCGCTTTGGATTCACAATGACACAAACGCACACAGCACAGACACAGGCGCACACACTCAGGGAATACGAATAATATGTTGAAAACAAACACAAAATATGGTGTATTGGCGAGGCAACTGCAACTGTGACTGGGAAGCGTCCGCCTCCTACATGTACTAAATCAATACTGGGCGACGACTGCCTCCCGCAACAAGTTGATTATGCCTGGCCAGCTTTATCCGGAGCGTTGCTGGAGCGTGGAGCGTGCAGCGGAGAGCGGGAGTGGCGACGCCGTTCCAAGAAATCAAAACAAGCAACTTTGATTACTCCTCCTTCTCGCCTTTTTGCGCTCTTGTTTTTGTTCTTGTTGCTGTTGCTGCTGCTCCCTTTGCTCTGCTCTGTCGCTGCTGCTGCGCAGTTGTGGCGTATAGCGGCCCGTGTGGTGATAACGCCTCACAAATCCGTTTTCACGCCCCGGCTAGCTGCGCGCCCTTTAAAATCAACTATCTTTTCAGTTATGTTTATGATTTTCTTTTCGCGTATGGAAAACTGTCTCTCTTGCGGGGGTGGTGGTGCAGCGGGGGTGGTCGTCTCTATTGCAGCGATAGTTTTTGGTTGCTAAAACTATCGATTCCAGCGTTGGTCGATACTTTGGCACTGTAATCGAATTGTCATTTCAAATGGTAATTCAAATTGGAAATCCAATTGGAAATGGGATGAGCTTTGGCAAAACTTATAAATTAAATAATTATCTAAAGGTAGTTTAAGAATACAAAGTATAATACCCAAATTAAGTTACTTTAATTTATATAATGCAAGGACAACATGAAACCCTAATTTGCGCTTTATAGCTTTGTTTTAACCAATCAAAGTTTAAAATTCTCATAACTAAGCTAAAAATCCATTAATTTTAATTCGGAAAACAGTTCTATGTTAGTTTTTATTATGGTAATAAATCTGCATACTACATTTTAGAATTTTAGAAAATTAAATTTTTTGTCAATTTTTGAAAACTTTAACGATGTAACCCCTTTGCTTTTTTTCAAAAAATTGAAAAAAATTTTGTTTCTTCCGGAAATACCTAGAAAGATTCGCCTGTTGATGCTGATCAAGAATATATATGATTTATGGGGTCGGAAATGACTCCTTCACTGATTAAAATTATAATACCCTCTGTAAGATTCTTAAAATGGATATTTTTATATGACAATGCAATTAATTTCAATTCGAAAAGATTTCCACGTTAATTTTTACTAAATTAACAAATCTGAATCCCCTCTTCAAAAAAAGGAACACACTTTTTGTTGTTAAACAGAAACTAGACGATATATTTATCTAATTTATGTATGGCTTACACACAGTATTAATTTCTTGTTTACATGTGTCATGGCTGTGTGCTGCGACAGTTGTGAATTTCCAATGTTTAATTTAATGGCAAAGAACTAAGTAGATTTAGTTCTTTATTTGTGTAATGTTTTATTTTTGGTATTTAAGCCTTCTTTTGTTCTGTTTGTTCGTTTGACAAGCGGTGAGGTGACACATTGTAAGCTGATACCAGCCGGATTCCCCACAAGCCCAGCCCCAACCTCCGACTCCACTTAAATGCCATCTCCTCCAGCGGGGAATGCTATAAAGGCAGCATCGGCCCTCCTACTGTTCCTTGGTTAGACGACGCAGTGCCCTCTTCCGGGTGCCCAGTATATTCTTAAGCACCACGTTGCGAGCGAACTGCTCTCCGAATACCGCCTCTGTAAGGTGAATCACCAGCTGGAGCAGTGCATGGGGAAGGTAGCCAGCCGTCTGGCCAGCAATTCCCAAAGTGGAAAGCGCGGAGCGCACATACGTCTCCGGTGAGGGAGCGAAAATGGTGGCCTTGCGGATCTTCGACATGTTGGTGGCCACGAAGCCTGGCTGCACGCTTTGGATAAGGATGCCTTGGTCCTTGTACTCAGTCTGCAGATCGTCGCTGAACTTGTTCACAAAGGCCTGTAAAAAAACGCGACTTAGCAAAGATTCGAATGATATTTAACGACTTCTCTTACCTTTGTGGAACTGTACACGCTTAGCAGGGGATTGGGAATGACGCCAGCTGTAGAGGACAAGTTAATGATCACGCCGCGACCCTTTGCGACCATGGTCGGCAGGACTAGGGCGGTCATGTGTGTAACCGAATGAATATTAGCCGAAACTATATTGCGCAAGAACTGCGGATCAGCCTTGTAGCAGTCGAGGAAGTACTCGGGATGGCTGTAGCTAATACCCACGTTGTTGACCAATACACCGATATCCATGCCTTTGATCTGGTTATTGATCTTTTCGTAGATTTCGGCACCTCCGGTGAAGTCCACATCGATTACACGCACCTCCACGTTATATTTATCGCCTGAAAGTATGCCGCAGAGCGACAGGAAAAGTTAGTTACAGTCATTAACTTAGCTAAGGGTTGATGGTAGTGGTGGACATACTTATCTCCTTGGCAACTCCATTCAACTTATCCAGTGATCTACTAATCAGCACCAGCTTCAGTCCCCTACGAGCCAGCTGAAAAATGAAATGAATATAGATTATTAATATTATATTTCTTATTTCCTAATAGGTTAAACAAATTAATCTGGAAAAATTCCTTGGAAAGATATATTCCTGATTATATTTACCGACTTTTGGCTGATCAAAATTCAAACTAAATGTATAGTAACCACTGTTTAGAAAGAAGCTATCATGGGTGAGGCCACATAATTCCGCGTGGACATTGAACCACTTTCCGTGCGTTTGACGCGCGGCGAATGCTAATGCGCTAAGGCGGCTTCAGGCGGGGCCCTCTCTATACTCCAGCTATAGGTTCGTTCATCCACTTGGACAACACGTGTTCCCTTAGCTGGGTTCTAGCTTCGATTGCTTCGAGTGGGTGACACAAAATACATAACCGGGAACTGCCCGTTTCCAAATATAACAAATAAAACCTAAACTGCAGCGACTGCACTTTGTAAGGGCAAATAACAACAAAAACTTAAGAAAATAAAAGTGTAAAGGCTGCAAATTTAGCAATTTGCAGTCAGCAAACACTATTAGGGAATTTTTGTGACTGCCAGTAAGACTGGAGATCGATTTCAAAGTGCAGATTCACTTGGCTAATGCATCGACTCTCGACGCCGATACCGGCGAGCCCAATGTACAAGTCATTGTGGGCGACGCGCGTCCGCTTAATTCGGTAATTACTCATTAATTTTTTGTTTGGCCGTTTCCCCTGACATGTCATTAATCCGCCGGACTTTGGCCAAGATTGGGTCAGCCCAGCGTACGTACCTCCTTGGCGTAGGCCTTGCCAATTCCATCGGTGGATCCAGTGACAACTGAAAATATATACAAGTTAATATAGCACCATAGCCAGGGATTGTACCAGAGGTTATCAGTGGGCTAAAGGGGCGTGGGCAGGTTTCTTATCACTCACGGGAAGCATAAATGTTAACAATTTAGGTGATTAGGTTTTCTTCATTTCCTTTGGGAAATATTAGAAATTCATGAATTTCTTAATGATTTTTGGTATTCAAAACATAATTAAATATTAATTATTAACTAGAAATGTGAAAACAATTGGAATGCAAATATTTGGTATAACTCTGTACTCTGTGGTATGTTTACCACAGGGATCACAGTTAATTGAGGTTATCTCCGAATGTTTATTTATTCGTAATTATTTCTTGTTTCTTAGTTCTTCCACCTTTACACCCTTTGAAAACGCCACTCGTACGTACTCACCTGCCCACTCGCCCATCTTGGCGAGATTCACGGAGGAGCCAAACACCTTGGGTCCCACCACATTCGCATAAATCCAGGGCAGGACCTTGCGGAACACCTGCAAGCCCACAATGCCGATGGCCAACCCGCCGAGCAGGCTCAGCACACGGGAATTGTTCTCCTCCATTTCGAATTTTACCGATTACTGGACACTAGATGGATTCGTAGCCTATTGCCTATGCCGGCTGATTAGTTTCTGATTCTCCGTTATTCTGCTTTTGTCGCACACTGCAACCGCTGCTTCTGCGTCTACCTCTGCCTCTGCCGGCGTTGTCGCGCTTCTGCTATGTTTTTTGTTCGCTTGTGGTAGTAGTGTTCACACTCCCTTCGAATCGACAGTGATTTTTGATTTTCGTTAGCCGCTTCTCGAATTTTTGCAGTTCGTCGCTCAATGTCTGATTAATATTCAAAAGGCATTTAGACGCCGGACCAAAGGAGAAACAAAGCAGGAGGAAAGAAAATAAAAAGCAAATGGAAAAAGCGATTGAACGTCAATTGTCAACGGCGCGGCAGAGAATGAAACGAACGGTTCTTTCGCGTATCCGTGTGCCCTATGCGGCCCGACTGCGTGTGTGTGAGAGCGCCTGCTGGGTGTGTTGTCGTTGTGCGTCCGCTCGTGTGTATACGCGCCACTTATGTCATTCCGCTCCCGATTTTCCACATCGCACCACCGCCACCCGAAGCGGGCGATAAGGGCGGCGGCACACACACATACCCACACTGCCTGCAAAAAGTAAACATACCAAGAACCGTTATGTTGCCACCGTAAATGGAAGCAGAGAAAAAGAGCAGCTGCGCTTAAGGTATTTATGCAAAGTATACTACTAGTAAACAGCAGTTTAAAAATCTATAAAAATATTGTAGTACTTAAATAATCTTTAATTATGCATTTATCTTTACAGTTAACCCAAAGTACGGGTATGTTTCGTAGGCAGTGTTGGCAGTTTTATGCTCTCACCAATACACACCAACCACCGAATTACTATAACTGCACATGCGCAGGAAGCATGAATAAATGCGATAAACCATTTAATTTTAACTAAATAGTTGCTCGCACAATTAAATCGTTTTGGAAAAAATGCCTGCAATTGTGAACTAACCATGCCAGCTTAATTAACGGCTATTCAAAGTTAAAGCGAGATGACGATAGAGGCGCCATGTTCGAGGACCCCCAGCCGGTTATCGATAATCCTCGATTGCTATCGGTTTTTGAAATTTCCACACAAGTGAGTATGAAAAAAATTAATTTTACACGAAATTTGAATATATTTACAGAAATTAAGTATTGGGCATAATGGCATTTCTTTCTTTTACATATTTAGTAATTGCCTGAATGAAATTGAAAGCGTAACGGCAGACGGACACCTACATAGCTTAGTGGGTGGAAATCTTTGGCTATTGGAATTTGCCGAGAGAGAGAGATGCTGATGCTGGGCTTTCCGGAGCGCAGTCAGTAGCGCAGCAGTTGTGGGTGAGGGAACAACAACGTCTACGGCCCGGCAAAGGCAACTATACGGCCGTATTAATAGGACTCCCCGCCGAACTAAATCCACCTTTACGTTGCTAATCGCAGCTACTTTAACTATTTAAACAAAGCGCCTCTGGCATAGGTCCGGATTCTGGCATAATCAACACTTAGAAGGTGAGTTACTTTGCTGTTTATTTTGGACCTTATTGCGAAGCTTGGAGAATGGCCAGGATAACAGGGATGCTGGCCATGCGCAATGCATGCCCTGACCTACATTCGCGCTTATTGGCCATCCAATGGGGCAGCCAGGGCCAGCAGCAGCCGCAGCAGCAGTTGCAAAAAGATAAATACACACGCAACACGAGCTGGTTAATAAAAGTGTTTTCCTTCTCGCCTTTCTTTCCTCCTAAAAAATAAAGAAAATAAATAGGAAAAAAAAAAGAAAGCTGGAAAGTGGACAAATCGAAAAGAAAACAATTGGGGAAATGGAAATGTGAGTCCCGGGCTGATTACCTTATGTGTGTTCAGCAGTATGTCCAATATACACTCAAGTTGCCGCAGCGCAATCGATAAGCAGTGAAGTTTATAGCCTCCATTAGCAATCAGCACGTCAGCTATCCCCGAGTCCACATCCGACTCAATTGGCCATGCAGTGGGACGCTGCTGATGCAGTTGGATCGATATAGAACAGATTACGGGTGCATATCCTGCCACCCAGCATCCCGGGATACTCACATACTCCGTTGCAGTGATGAGATCGCGGCTGTTTTGGATACTGGCAATTATATACTCCTCGCTCCACCACATCGGATCGGGCTCCACGTCGACCACATGTGAGTTTACCTATGTTTTCTACTTAAACGTTGTAAACTTTATTATTTTTTAAATATTTAAGGTAACAAACTTTTCTTTAATTATTTCAAAATCAAGACTTATATTTAATTATTTAAAACATACTTGATTTCAACTCAAAATATAGTAAAACGACCGCGAGCTGGCGACCCCTTCGACACGTTCCCAAAGAACTTCTGGCAGGAGTTCTCGTCGCCGTTCACCGACACGCCTGAGGATGAGGAGCTGGAGGTCACCGAGACGACCACCCATGAGCCGTTCCCCTTCTTTGCCGACCCGTATACCACGCTGAACATCAGCACCCAGCTGTCGTCGAGCGTGTATCTGCATTGTCGGGTTAACGATCTCCAGGGCAAGACGGTGTCGTGGATGAGGCGACGCGGCGAGGATCTCACATTGATTACCTTTGGCCAGCACACGTACAGCGGGGATTCACGATACTCGCTGGAGTTCGAGGAGCCCAACGACTGGAAGCTGCTCATTCAGTTTGCCAATGAACGGGATGAGGGTCCGTATGAGTGCCAGGTGTCCTCTCATCCGCCGCTTGTCCTGCTCGTCTACCTAACGATAATTGGTGAGTTGAGTTTGATAATCTTTTTCATTCTTAATTCCTTTTTGCCTTTACTCAGTTCCTCACGTGGAGATCCTCGACGAGCGGGGCTCGGCCACGCCGGAGAAGTACTACAAGGCTGGCAGCACTATTGAGCTGCAGTGCGTCATTTCCAAGATTCCGCATCCCTCCTCCTACATCACCTGGCGGCACGGGCTGCGGCTGCTCAACTACGATACCAGTAGGGGTGGAATCAGGTGAGATTTATATAAAATGCTCCATAAAATCTATTCTGCATAAGACGCCAAGATATAGGCCATGGTTTTTGCCTTGTTTTTGGCTTCTGCCTGTAGGTTAGATCCCTGAGGGAAAAGACTTTAAATCTATCTTTAAAATATTTCCCATATATTCAGTGTCAAGACGGACATGCTCCCAGGACGAGCGCTAAGTCGTTTGTACATCGCCAATGCCAACCGCCAGGACACCGGCAACTACACCTGCATGCTGGGCAACGAGATCACGGAGACGGTGGTGGTCCATGTGCTAAACGGTAAGTGTTAGATACCATAAAGAATTTACGAACATAATTGGGTATCCTTTGACTGCAGGTGAGGAGCCTGCTGCCATGCAGCATGCCAATGGAAGCCGCAACAAGGTTGGCGCCTCCTCCACCACAATGGTTGTGTTATTTCTAGTGTACGTGTGCTTGTCCGGAACAGGACTGGAATTGGGATTGGGCTTGGGATCACCGGGTCGTGGTCTAAAGCGATGATGGCGGGGCGGCGGGATCCGGGGATCGTAGATTCCAAGATCGTTGCCGCAGAGAGATAGGTAGAGAGAGATAGGCGCGCTGGAAATGCATACACCAAAAGAATCTTGTCCAGGATTGCATTTTCGACTTTTACTCTAATCATGGGTTGTTTAAAATAACGATACATAGCATAAACCGAAAATATTAAGCTTAAGTCAAGTGTATTTATAAACCGAGTATCGAAAATCGAGATTCGAGCAAGACGTAAGTGAAGGAAAACTTGTACTAGTAAGGGCGTACGCGAATTATATAGATGAGTACTTGATTTTGCAGTTTTTAGCGCTAGACATAATCTTATTATTACCATAATCGAATCAAATCGTATTACCAAGGCCGTGTTTATGTTGGCAACACACACAAATTGATGATCTTATATACATGCATCAAAACGTATCCATTTTAACTCTTTGTTATACCTCCCTATATATTCGTAAGATCCGGATCTAGCCTATGCGTATATATTTTTTCGCTTAACACCGCCCTTCCAAAGGTCGTCACATTCCCCCCGGTTCACATTCCCATTGCCTTTCCCCACACTTGTGTGTACACCTCCGATCCAAGGCCTTGTTAAAAAATGGTTGTAGCTTCTTGAAATCAAACAGCATATCAGTTGGGATCATTCTAAACGTAATAATAATAACGCTAGCCAACGAACAAGAACATTCGATAGGTTTGCAATTGACTTGGAAGCAAAAGTTAATGTAATCAATTGTTTAATTGATTTAACAAGATAGTTTCGATAGTTTTGAAATAGTAATAATCATATTATTTCTATTGTATTTGTGATGTTATTTTCTTTATTCAAACTTTGAGTTATTCTTCAATTTTAATTCCCTTTAAATATAATTAACTAAATCTTGAGTTAAGAGCCTGTTAGATATCGAGGCTTATATTACCTATTATTATTTACCAAACCCAAGCATAGAAGTTCTAAATTTAGGTATTAATAATAGATAATTCCAAGTCGATTGTTGTTCGCAAAAAGTGTAATCAACACTTGTCATATAAAAACTCTAGTTTCATCGTGTCAATTTTTCATTTCCTGCCGTAAATCGACGGTAATCGGTAATCAAATATCGGTAATCAAAAAAGGTTGTTAAATTAAAATTAAAGAATTAATTCGGAGCTTGATCAAAACTTTAAGTTGTTGTTTAAGTTGAGTTGAGTCCCAAAAATAAAAACGTAGGACAAAAATGTAGAGGAAAAGGGCGCAGGCTGATGATGATGATGATGATGTGTAGAAGAGACCTTAGAAAAATGTTTAACGTTAACATAAAAAAAAACCAAAATGAAAAACAAAAACTGTGCCATTTAAAATGGATACATATCGTTTAATTGTTGTTAATTCGGTTGCGGAACCAATGACCATTTTTGAGGCAGACGATGACTTTGACAGACAGAATGTAATTGTATATTTGTATTTGTATCTTTTTGGAATCGAACGGTTGCGTTGCCTCCTCCAAAATTCCAACACAACTCGGACCAATGGGTAAAAAGTACTTACTACTTGATTGTTTTGATTGAGAACGGCCCCAAAAACCGAAAACCAAAACCAAAAGGCACTAAGATGAATTCAATTAAATGATAAAATAATAAAAAAAAAACTCGAGATCAAAAACTAGAAGCGAATGAATAATATATCTATATATGTTCCACTTTCCTTTCTCTCCTTTGTGGGTGCGCGGTGAGGACCTATCATAATACAATTATATATCAATTCACTTTGGCTTTAGCTTCAAACTATATTTACCTATCCTTCCCTCTATCCGCCATATTAACCATGTTAGCACTACTGACGGCTTTCCAACTATTCCCTATTGCTTTTCCATATCGATCGGTACACTCTCTTTACAAATGTATTAGGAAATCGAAGCGTATAGCATAAATACTAATTTCAATGGTCCAGTGTAGTTATTGTAAATTATTCAAATTGATCCTTGATCCCTGATCCTTGGAGTATGCCCTTGATAAATAAACACACAATGAAAGCAAGAACCCTTCAAGCAAGGGAGAAACAATGCAAAACAAAACAAAACAAATGTTGGAGTGAGATAATGAAACAATACTTAGAGACTAAAGAAAGTGACGAAACGAAAACTTTTAGAAAGATTTTGGTTACAGAATTATATTTAAAGTAATTATTATATATTTAAAATTGAGATTATAAAAGCAAAACATAATGCATAAATACATAATGTATAACGTGGGCGTCCGAATTCGAATGCGACGGCCCCCAAAACGAAACCGTCATTGTCAAACAGAAAAAAAAACAAAAACTACAGATTAATGCAAAATTGTATAAAAAGAAACACACACACACACATTTGTTTTTTCTATTAAAACATTCAAAACATCAAAAGTGCTTTTCATTTAAGCAATATCCGCAGGAAACGCATCTCAATTGGGCATTCACTGCACAATATGCATAATATAGTTTTATTTACATATATTATTATCATTAAATATTAAAACAATATCATTCCTTAATTACTCCCTATGTATTTAGCCATTGTATTCCACATCGGCATCTGTGTACATCTTGGCTGGCTGTCCGGCCAGACCATTATCCGTCTCCATCATCTCGACATCGCGGCAGCTGGCCGCCTGCAGCTCTCTCCTCACATCGGCGGTTATCTTGAAGTGGGATTTCTTCCTGCAATCAAGCGAGAAAGAGTTTAGTCTAATGTGTAACGAAATTCAAAAGATGTACGCACTTTAGGAGCTGGAGGAGAGCATCCCTCTGTTCGGAGGATATATCATTCTTGTAGCGCTGGGCAAAAGTGAGCAGACTCTGGTGCCATAGCACTGGCAACTCCCGTTTGTCGTTCTCGAATCTGTTTGGGATTACAAGTTAGTAATTGGGATATATAAAAGCACTATACAAGAAACTCACCTGAGGAAGTGAAAGACTGCCGCGTCGACGACACGATACGGCAGGGCATAGCGCTTGTCCAGGAAGTAACGGATAAAGATCGAGTTGGCACCCGAATAACTCATCTCGCATATCTTCAGCAGGCAGGCGGAGGAGTGCAGCACAGGTATGGAGCTGCGCGCCACCACGCTACCAAAGATAATAGCCTCGCGTAGCGTACAATCTCCGGCCTCCAGCAGCGGCAGGATGATACCCTTCATGAAGGCGGCCGGCTTGAAGAGAGCACGCTTCAGGGCATTGTAGAGATGCATATTAAGCTTCTTGTATTCGCAGAGATCGTCCCGAACGCGTGGCAGCAGCACTAGGTTGTAGAAGCGCTGGGCCATCGCTTGCGAGAGCACTGAGCAGAAGATACGCGTGCCCTGGAACATGGCAGCGGCGCTCCAGTTGTGCGGCTCCGTAAGGAACAGGATCTGCTCCCAATTGCGCAGTTTCGGTATGATCTTGAAGGCCTTTGGAATCTTGCCGCTGCGATAACGCTTTAGCACATTTCGAACGCCCTCATACATCTCCTTCACCTTGGGATCGATCTCTTCGATCTTCAGCGATCCCTCGTCGGAGATCTTTGTGTGTATGTCTGCCTCCTTCTCCTGGATCTTCTGCATGATCATCTGGGAGAGGTGCAACGTGCGCTTTCCCTCCTTTGCCGGCTGCTGGAAGCGCTCAAAGGCGGCCACATCGTCGGCGTCCATGTCCAGATCGGCCATGAAGTCCGTCTCGGTGACCTCCTCATCCTCCTCCTTGGCCATGCCATCGCCTGCAAAGGAAAGTAAATATGTTAATTATGATTTTCTATATTTTCTTCCACATTTATCTAAGCTTAATATGTTACTGCCTTTTAGACGAACTCTTGATGAACTTACTCAAACTGAAGTTGACTTTCTTGACGGACACCAAACTGGGGAAGTTCTCCTCGTCCAGTTCCAACTGCTGCCGCTTGGCCGCGGCCAGAATGTTCTGACTGCTCCTGGCATCGAGGTTCTGCAAGGCCACATGACTTGGTTTAAAGAGGAAATGCTGATTTAGTATATGGCTCTTACCGGTGACTCCTCGGCCCGCATCTTGACCTTATCCTTGGTCTTCGCCTTGGCCACCTTGCCCTCGGTTATCTGCTTCTCCAGATTCACGGTCTTGATCGTGGCCACATTGGCCTTCTTCGGCTTGCCCATTCTGCACCGTTTTTATCGAGAATCAGTAGTTAATTATTAAATTAAAGCTATATTCTCTAGTTATAATCGTTGCACGTGTTGTGACAAAGCAATTGCGTTGCCAGCTGGTCAGGCATTTGAAAAACAAAACACTGTTCTTTTAAGTCTGGCAGCGCTGATACAGGGCTTATGTTTCGATAGCTCGGTATACTTTGAGATGGCTAATATTGCGATACCGAAACTGTGACTTCCGTGACTTAATACATTGGCAGTTAAATTGTTGAATATAAAATTATTAACTTAACGAAACGATCGTTGACTATTATTCTATTCAGGTGAGTTAACCAATCAACTAACATTCTTATTGAATAAGTCGAAAGATACAATGTTATAACGCAACTTATTTTAACGGCATTCAAATCTGCAACAGCTGGTAACCGTGACCACAACTATCGATATCTCGATGTTCGAGCGGCCCAAGTCCCGTCACTACTTCCTCTTCGCGTTCTTTTCCAACCCTGCGCTAGCAGCAAACAGACATCGGCCGATTCTTTTTTTTTCTGCGTTGCCTGAAAACAGACGACATCATGAAGGTGTGCAAAAAAATTGTGAAAATATCCCGTTTAATTCGGCAAACAGCTAGAAATATTGCGAAAAATCGAAAGAACACGCACTGACGCGACGAATCGTTACGTTTGCGGTGAAAAATAACCAGTGATTGCGTTTGCAGCAATTGATGACAATTTGCTAGCGGCGCTCGTAATTTTTTTTGTGTACAACCAAATGGCAACATCTACATTGTGTGTGTGTTTCTGTGTGTTTGCAGCTCAACGTTTCCTTTCCCGCGACGGGATGCCAGAAGCTGTTCGAAGTTGTGGACGAGCATAAGCTCCGTGTGTTCTACGAGAAGCGTATGGGCCAGGTTGTGGAGGCCGACATCCTTGGAGATGAGTGGAAGGGCTACCAGCTGCGTATTGCCGGTGGCAACGACAAGCAGGGCTTCCCCATGAAGCAGGGTGTGCTGACCCACGGTAAGTTGGACGCTAATCAAAGGGATCTGCTGGTTTTAGGTGGTTGTATATTCATGCCAAACATTGTATATGCAAGTTATATCAACATTGAATAGTTTGATACCTTCAATAAGCTTTGTGATCATTCTTTATGTATTCTTTAACGTAATGTAAATTACCGTTGCTAACATTGCTTAGAAACAACTAGAAACCTAACCTTAACGCGATTTTCAAGAAATTAGCTTGATTTGTGCTAAATTACATATGAAACATTATAAATATATTTAAGTATCGAGTAGTAATCTATGTTCCATATCTTAAAGCTGTAATCATCTTGTTAAAATGTGTATTTGTATGTTAAATGAAGTAATTAAACCATTGAAGCTGTAGCAAACATGTTTAGGCCTGTACAACCCCCAACCTGCTCCCATTGATGGCCATGTGCTTTCCTCACCTGAAATATCTTGCTAACGAACGTTTATTTCCTCTCCAACAGGTCGTGTGCGTCTGCTGCTGAAGAAGGGACACTCTTGCTACCGCCCACGTCGTACCGGCGAGCGCAAGCGCAAGTCTGTGCGTGGTTGCATCGTCGATGCCAACATGTCCGTGCTGGCTCTCGTTGTGATCAAGAAGGGTGAGCAGGACATTGCCGGTCTTACCGACACCACCATTCCCCGTCGCCTGGGACCTAAGCGTGCGAGCAAGATCCGCAAGCTGTACAACCTGAGCAAGGAGGATGATGTCCGTCGTTTTGTGGTGCGTCGCCCCCTGCCCGCCAAGGACAACAAGAAGGCCACCTCCAAGGCCCCCAAGATCCAGCGCTTGATCACCCCCGTTGTGCTGCAGCGCAAGCACCGTCGCATTGCGCTGAAGAAGAAGCGCCAGACGGCCTCCAAGGAGGCTGCCGCCGACTACGCCAAGCTGTTGGTCCAGCGCAAGAAGGAGTCCAAGGCCAAGCGTGAGGAGGCCAAGCGTCGCCGTTCTGCTTCCATCCGCGAGTCCAAGAGCTCCGTTTCTAGTGACAAGAAGTAAATTGCCGATGCCGCTTTCAATGCGGAACCCAAAATTGTCGTCGTTAAAGCAGAAACTGAACGTAGATCAAATTCCAACGGTCTACTCATTGAGAAAAGAAGTTTTGTAACCATTTACGTTTAATAAATGTGAGAATATGGTATACAGTGTATGATATAGTGTTATTTCACCTTTTTTTTCTGTGTTCAAAGTCAGGCCAAGTGCTTGCACGTGTTAGTGGAAAGCCGAATGCTGTGTGAGTTTCCATTTTAACTCAATAGTGTTTACTTTTTTATCTGGAAAAAGGAGGAAAAACCCTTATCTCTATCAAGTTTGATTACAATTCCCACTGTATTACCTCTACCCCATTAATTCCTTGATCTTTATTTGTTTATTTATTTTATTTTAAATGCAACAATTCTACTGACAATGGTTTTGCAAGTCGAACAAGTTTCTTAAGTTGGTCTAATTAAACCTCAACATGAATATATCTATGAAATCAAGTAGATATCTAATTAATGCCCTAAAATAATAATGAGAGTTTAAAAAATAAATCCAAGACTACATATTAAATTTTCCCAGAAGTTGGTTCGTTCTCTTGGAGAGTAAAGGGATTAACAATTTGTTTTTAAGCCAAATAGAGCGAGATGGCAGCAGGAGAACCTGTCCTCTCTCTCTGTTTCCTGCAAAGCCCGCCATAAAACGAATTCCCTTTCGATTTCGAGCTAAGACATAGATATATTCATCCGTACATAGGTAATGTTATACATAGATATATAAATAAAAAACAAGTAGAATGTGTGTAAATAAGATGTTACGAGGCTTTCGTGGCGGCAGTTCCAGTCCAAAATTACATGGTCAGCAGGCAGGGATCCTTATCTGCTGGCGGTGCCACTGGGAATGGGGCTCTCGTCCAAAGGAGAACTAACAACAGGCGCCTCGCTGGAAACTTGATTCGGATTAGCAGCCGTCGTTGTCGTCGATATTGTCGTTGTCGCCTCCTCGAAACGCGTGAGCTTGGCCTCCTGATCCGCCAGCAGCTCGAGCAGATCCTCCTGGTCCTTTTGCGTGGCGGCCAGAGATTCCTGCGCAGCATCTGCCCTTTGCCTTTCCGTCGACAGCTGTTGGCGCAATGTCTCCAGCTCCTTGGTCAGACGAATGTTCTCCGCAAAGTACATGTTCGCCTGGTAGCGAGCAGCATTCAGTTCCTCCTCGCTAGCGGCTGGGGTCTCTACCGCTTGGCCTTGGCCCTGCACATTCACCTGACTGGTTGCCCCCAGCTGGGCCTTGAGTAACGTGTTCTGGTCCGAGAGCTGCGCCTTCAGGGTCTGCTCCTCGTCGAGTTTCTCCTTCAGCTTCGCGTTCTCGTTCTCCAGCTCTTTGGAAGACTGCTGCAGCGTCTGGATCTGGGCATCCATGCCACGGATTATCCCCTTGTACTGGGAGACCAGAGCCGAGGCCTCCGAACTGAGTGTAAGCTCGGTTAGCTCGATGCCGTCCACATCAAAGCCGCTAACCAGCTTAGCAATGAGTGCCTCCAGTCCCTTGTACAGTTTGCAGTACTCGTAGTCCAGTAGCAGCTCGCCCGCGGACTTGGCACGGATCTGCGCCTGCTTGCACGCCCGGCTGTACGCTTCATGGCGCGAAACTTCCGCTAGCTTGCTGCAAAAGCTCTCCTGGCCAATGCGCTTGATGATCAACTGGCTAATGTCCTCGCGCTTCTGTCCTGGCAGGGAATTGTCGTTGAACTGGATGCACAGGCCCATAAGGAAAGCGCACATGCCCTGGACGAGGAACTCGCGTTCATCATGCTCGTTGGAGCAAAGCTGGGCGGTCAGGTAGGCCATGGTGCCCTGCGTCTCCAGTAGCGCCTTCACCGCGCCCGGGCAGTGTGCCAACCAGAGGCTGAGCAGCATCAGCAGACCGACTTTGCTCTGCAACCGATACCGTTCCTGCTGCATCAGATTGGAGCACTGTTCCAGGAGCGTAATAGGGCGCTGTCCGCCGGGTGTAGCCAGTAGGACGCGCAGCAGCTCCTCCTTCAGCGCCACGTTCTCTACGAGGGTGTGCATCAGGGCGACGGCCGAGAACCAATTGGCCAGGGCATCCGTGGAGAAGAGGCCGGTGCAAAGTAGCTGTCCCGTGGATAGGGCACTCACATCCGAGGTGCTGGAAGGCAGCAGCGTCTGCACCACCGCCCGCTGACCGTCGGCATTGCGGTACAGGAAGCATTCAAAGCAGTAGAGAACGGCGCAGCGTAGAGCCAGGAGCTGCTTCTCATTGATCATGGACATTAGCAGGACAACAATGGCGGGCCTTGGTGGACTGCTGGGTGCCATAACGCGTCCCAGTTCGTCCTGGTTGTCCCGGTCGCCGCGCACCACCTCGGCCACGGCATTGATCGTTTCCGTGAGTATATCTGCCGGAACGCCGCTGCTCATGAGAATCTCGCAGAGGGCATGGAGTAGACGGGACTTCTGCATGACGCGTTGACAAGCGCTCACCACTACCTGCTGATTGCTAGGCGTGACCAGTGCCCGGACGACCTGCAGCAGGCAGTGGAAGTTGGAGACCTTCTGCGGTGACCAGCCCAGCTCCTCGGTGTCTTGGGCAAGCTCGAACATGGGCGCCAAGCGCTGGATGTAGCTGCCTTCTTTGAAGAACTGCTGGTTGCTAGAGTTGTTCTTAAGGAGGTTCAGCAGCAGGATCAGGCAGTCCTCGACGACGATGCCACCGTCGGAGCAGCCCTCTTCGCGCACAATCTCAAACAGGCGGTCAAAGGCGTTCTCAAAGGCTACGATCTTCTGGATGTTTGAGTTTCCCTTGGTCAGCTCGATCAGCAGCAGCAAGACATCGTTGCGGATGACCTCGCGGCTATCGGTGAGCAGGTCCATCAGCTTGGACACCCCCATCGGGCTGACCAGCACCAGATCCTGCAGCTCACGCGTCTTGTTTGAGATGAGGGACGTAATTAGCTGGATTGCTGCGCGGCGTACACGAAAATCGTACTCATCCAGGTAACCCATCACCAGTGTTACGTTCTCCGGCGTCTTGATGAACATTTCCGTGAACTGCTCGCCCACGTTGACCGACACCGTGGGGTTATCGGCTTCCTCGTCGAATTCCTCGCTGGTCACCACATTGCAGAGCGTGTCCAGCGCATAGCTAATGATCTCCGCGTCCTGTCCGTCGTTCTGCAGCACTTGGACCAGCGGCGGCATGCCCTGGGCACCCACCTCGATCCGGTACTTGCGCGACAACGCCTTCAGCGCCCGGCATGCGTCGCGACGGTCCTCCAAGAGGGTGGACGAGTAGACGCGATCCACTAGCTTCTCTACCGTCTCGGCGGCACTCGGTTGCTGGCCCGGCTCTGTGCCGCCCAGCACCGTCTTAATGCCACTCTTCAGGAACTCCATGCGCCAGCTGCCAGTGTCGAGGAAGTGTGTGTTTACGCCAGCGGGCTGGGTTTTTTCGCGTTTACTTCCACGTAGCCTTTATGAAAACAATTGCAGTCCAGTGTGACCAGCTCCTGTCTCTTAGAGATGTAATATCATCGACGTTATGATACTATCGATAATTTTAGAAATCGGTTTGTTGTGCTTTCGGTGCAGTGCGACCAGCTTCTGTCCCTTTGAGTTATAATATTATCAATGTTATCGATACTACCGATAATTTCATAAAAGAAAACGCTGTCACACTGAAAAGCTTGTAAACAAATCGGGTTTTCGTGTTTTCGGTTTTTGCTCTAATTTTCGCGGTCGCGGTCGCAGATAAGTGAGATTCTGGCGCGGATTGGCAATGAGCAGCGGCGCCGCCGGCTGCAAGCGCGTGCACAGCATCGAAGTTGAGCAGCCGCTGGAGGCGGAGCGCGTGCAGCACGGTTTGCTGTTGGTCAAGGGGCGTCTGCTGCCCAAGTGCGCGGCGGCGCGCCAACTGAGGGCCACTCTCGACAGGTCGCTGGAACAGCTGACCCAGCTCTCGGCGGCCGGCGAATTTAAGTTGCTGTTTGACTTGGAGCGTGCCGCCCAAGGGAATCCTGCAACAGAGACTGTCTGCCACTTGGAACTACGTTCCTGCAGCGCCGTCCGGGGAATTAACTTCAGCTATACTCCCCGAAGCAGCTCCTACAAAGTGCAACCGTTGTATCTGCTGTGCAGCGACGAGCAAAAGCCGGAGGAACAGCAGCGAGAGGTGCACTCTCTCATCGATCTCAATTTGCGCCTGGTGCAGTGCATCTACGCACACAAACTGCTGGCAGCTGGCTTTCCAAATCGCACCTTCACCCTAAACGGCGGCTGCTGCTCGTTCCGCAGCCAGCTGACCCAGGAACAGGCGCTGGCCAAGAGTGAGGACGAGCTGTGGCAGCATTTCGCTGGCGAAATCATTGCCTGCCCGCAGTGGGGTCATCAGATACGGCTCAAGTTCGTGGCCTTTGTCGGCTGCACGCGATACGACGGGGCCGGTGTGGCCGCCAGCGGTGACTCCTCCTACGCTAGCATCCGACGGCATCTCAGCGGACACGCAGCCCTAGGCGGTGGCGGTCTTGCGCTATTTGGTAGCGCCCACTTTTACTCTTGGCCACGCAGCTTCTCGGAGATTGGTGACTGTGTAAGTAGCACGGAACGTGTGGACGTGTCCCGACTGCCGGACGAGAGCAACTACAGGCGAACGTACGGCGGTGTGTATGCCAGCACTTTGGGTGCCGTGTGCCACGAGTTGGGCCACTGCTTTGATCTCGGCCACACCTCCGAGGGGGTGATGGGTCAGGGATTTGACTACCTAAACCGAGTCTTGACCGTGGATCAGCCTACGGAACACCTGCCGCAGCGAATCGTAGAGGCAGTAGGCGGCGGGGCAAAGAGAGCTGCTGGTGGTGGTGGTTCCAGTGCTGCAGGAAGATTGGGAGCTGGAAATGCTGGCAACGAGGGACCCCCAGCCAACCGTCCGCGCTTCACGAAACTGAAGCTGCAGGCAAGCAACCAACTTCTGGACAACTATCACAACCAAAGGCGACACGACAGCTTCTATTTCGCACGCAACTGTGCTGTGATCTTGGCCAGCCATCGCTGGCTCAATCTGGACCTGGAGGAAACGTCGTCGGAGTACATCGAGCCCGCTGACATCCAGCTAAGCTGGCCCACCAAGGAGATTGTGTCCAGCAGGCCCCTACGGCTGGTCGAACTGCGTTGCAATCGCAACAGTTTGGTGGCCCACTACGAGGAGTTTGAGGTGGATACTGTGAATCGCTTCCAGCTGCCAGCATCTCTGTGGCACCTCCTGGCGGAGCAGCGGACACATTACGTATTTGTACTGACCACCAGTGGCGATACCAAACGACTTTCCTGTGATTCCTTACCATAAGGAGGAGCAGCCAGAGCAGGTGAGCATTACACGAATATTCTGAAGTGCAATAAGATTCAAATCAAGTAGTACTTAGGGGGAATTAAGTCACTCCACTTGCCATTACTCAGTGTCGATTCGTGCTTGAACCTTTGCACTTGGGAAACCTTTGAAAACAATAAAACAAAGCAATTGCTTTGTAATTACTGTCTGATATTTTCAAATAGGTTATAATTTCACTCTATAAAATTGAGTGCGATAAAGCAACATCTCCAGTTACTGTCTTCTAATATCCTTGGAAACGAGTAAGTTGAAAATAATATTTCCAAATTCGTTAGAGTGAGAACATAAAACAAAAAAGAACGAAAAAAACTAAATTTTTGAAATTTTAGGCTCTCTCCTTTGTTTTTCGTTTTCTGCTTTTGCTCAAAGGAAAACCTATCAGCTAACAATTACCATAATTGAGTAAATATTTGCCTCCTCCCCTCATAAATTACCTGATTACACCTGCCCATATAATCTGGTGAGTCACGCATTTATTACCAAACACCTCTTCGGTGACGTTTATCGGTTTAGTGGTTGTCCTCAAACAGTGTGAACTTTACAGTGGAGCCAAAATGGCATTGAAAATAATAATAATCAGAGAAGATTGATACCAAAGAGGGAGCCATAAATTGAATGAATCCTAGAGCAAGCTGATAACGTGGCTAGGACGTAATCAGCTAGCCATTAATCATGGAAATTCCAAATTACTTGACAAGGTGTTAGCCAGAAAGTCGGCATTTATTTTGTGTATGTCCTCAAGTTTGTTTTCAATTTATTTGAAAGCACCAGTGACTAATCACTTATTCTTAGGAACTCCAAAAGTATTAGGGAATTTTTTGAACCAAACTAATTAATTTAATTAATTTCTTATAGAATAAAGAGTGCCTGGAGAGCGGCCCACTGTGCTGCTTGAGCTCTGCAAGGGGGCACACACTAGTGAATCAACCTGAAAGACAACACAAATACAAGCGTAACCCAAACCCCACATGGGCTCCAAAACCCCCAGGGACGTATGCATGGGGATACCTAGTGGTTGTAAGCAACCCTTTGTTGGCTCTTGTGTGCGCCACTGCTTCGAAGCAGGTTTTGCTGCTTTGATCGTCAGCTGAGCTCGTTCCGTCTCTCCCACTCTCTCTCTCTCGCTGAGCTAAGACAGCAGCTTATTGGGGCTAAGGTGATTCCCCCCACCCCTGGAACTCTTTGCCCCACTGAGTGCGTCTTGAGAGCGTAGCATTTGTTTTTTTTCATTCTCCATTATCGATGCGCGACAGCGCTGTGGCAGCGCCGTGGCAGCGAATGGGGTTCGATAGTGAAAACTGATAGAACAACTAATACAATGCCGCATAGATAAGATAAACACACACGGAATTGAATTGATGTTCGTTCGAAAACTAGTGCCCCGCATTGATTCACCCAAATATTTTCGCACCTCCACTTCTCCGATTCGCACGCAGGTCGGCGGCAGCAGTCTTCAGACGGAACGTAGCCTGAGCGGAGCGCACATACAACATCAGAACATCATCAATAATAATGGCAGCCACCGAGGCAACCGCCGCGCGCATTCAGTTCAAGGCACTGAAGGGATTTCCGGCCAGTACCAGTGATAAGCTGGAGACACAGGCCTTCCTCGCCGCCGCTACGGAGATAGTAACTGTCATAGGTGATAGCCCACACTTATATTTATCTTAAGGGTTAAACATTTTATTAATACATTTATTTTCCATTTTTCATGTCCTCTTGCTTGAATTTCCCGATGTCCAGAGAGCTTTGGCAAACTTTTCACGCCCGTGACGAAAGACATGAATGGAAACATAAGCGTAAGCATCAAGAACTAAGGTCCCTGTGTCCATCTATCCATCATCTATCATCCATCCATTCTAAGGAAACATCAAAAATTTAATTTATATTGGTTTATTATTGTTTTAAAAGCTCTTATATTAATAATTCACAATATTCCAATTTGAATAGTTGAGTTTGTTAAAGACCTTGATATCTGTTAACTACTTGTGTGTATTTTAAAAATCGAATGAGCTCTTAAAGACTTAAATTAAATCAATGCTTAATTGTTATTGAATTTATTTTAAAAGTTAGAACTGGAAGTGTCATAAATATTGCGATTTGTCGTTGAATTAACTTGTTAAAAATTGTTGAAAACTTGAAATGAACATAGAACCGATATTTGAACATCTATATTGTATTAAATTGAATTAAATTTAATATCGTACCTTTTACACCATATACAAATTAAATATTTCTTGCCTGCGATAGTGAGATTATACCGTAAAATTAGCAATTTGTATTCAAATCAGAGCCGGCAACAATAGTGAATTATTTTTATATAATAATGCACTGTATACTGCTTTGTCTACCACATCATCATCATCATTCAATATTTTATTCCACTAACTATATACACTTAGTTTCACAAGTTTCTTAAAGGGAATCGTTATTTCTTAACAATTCTTCTTGAGATTTTATTGAGACTATACTATAGTCTTATTATAATCTTGGATCACTTAAAATAGATTTCAAAAATAGATTACTCTCTGATTATAGACTATTTCTATTTACTATAAAATATATTCACTCTCATATTTTGTGCGCATTAAGTTGTATTCACCCTTCATACATATATCCTTATAAATCGTTTTATTTTTCTGTTTATTAGAAGCTAACGAAAGCCTATGGGACTGATGTATTGAAATACAAGTATCTGGAGGATTTAATTGTACTAAATGTGAATGTGGACGACTTTGCGGCAAATGCGCTGCTCTGGCTAAAGCGTGGCCTTCAGCTCATTTGCACCTTCTTCGAGAACATATACAACGATGCCGGATCCAAGGAGGCACTGAAGCAGCATCTGCAGGATGCCTACGAACGCACTCTAAAGCCCTATCACGGCTTTATTGTCCAGAACACAATTAAGGTGGGTGGTCCATACCCTGCCCTGCCCTGTCTTTTTCTAGCTAACAGACGTGTGCTTACAGATCATCTACAGCTGGGTACCCACACGGAGCCAGTTGCTGGGACAGGGAGCCGCCCAGGCGGAGAACATTGAGGTGATGACCAGCTTTCTGCCAACAATGCGCGCCCATCTGGATGCCATTGATGCGCTGCTGAAGGCACACAATCTGGACGATGCCCGGAAGGTGTAACCATCACCAGTCGGGGGATCGTGCAGCAACTTAGCTTAGCTTAGCTTAAATAGCTTATTCTACTTTATTATTTATGCCAGTGTCCAAATAAACCTCACAAGCCTTACTCTAGGCGCAGCTTGCCTTCACTTGGACTCTGCCGAGCGTCACACGCGTCGCCTCTGCTCGCTCAATGTTACCGATTCCATCACGGACGCCGGACGCTCCTCCACCACATCTTCGTGCTGTCGTTCCTGTTCCTGCTCCTGCTGCAGCTCCCGCTTCTTCTGACCTGGCATACAGATCACAAAGTGAATCACAGACACGATAACCTCAAGCCCTATGAGAGCAAACACTGCATTTGTGATGATGCGCAGCCACAGACTACGCCCGGCTGACGACAGGCGAAGGAAAACCATGGCTGGCAACAGGATGCAAGGCGTTACCGTAAGCAGCAGCCACATGGCGGTGGCGCCCGAGCACAGGTTCACCGAATAGCCGGCATACAGGCGCACGGCCTCAGCGGCCACAGCCAGGACGTAGGCCACCAGTAGGGACAGACCCTCCAGATTCCACAACATCTGAAACTGAGAAGAGATGACTTTGTTGAACAGGAGATTGGACCTTAGAGGATGATGCACTCACCCGAATGAGCATGTGAATCAGATAGCTCATGGCCCACACAACAGACACATAGGTGTTGGCCTGCAGCAACATTTGGAGCACAAGATTGGCCCGATGTGGTGTCACAGAGTACGGCATTCTCAGGGGAATATGAATATGTTCGCTGCCAAATCCAATCTAAGCCCGATTCGATTGGAAAATTTGTGGCTTTTAGAAGCGAAACTCCTTCGTTTGTTGTAATTGTTGTCGGTTGCCAGGGTAACGTCAAAATCAGCTGAAGCGGACGATTCCAGCCTGGTTGCTGCTGCACTCAACGAAGACGTGCTCCACACGCCATATTCTTCGACACCTTAGAGGAATGGAGCATACATTTATATGATAGCTATAAATTAATAATAAATTTAAAAAAGTCGCTCGATTTGCAGTGTAGTGTGACCGCAGTGTTTTAAGCTTTACATGCCATGCGAACGTGTTCAGTGTGACCCGTCTCTAAGCGCCATACAAAACTTTGTTATTGTTTTTAAAGTGCGTTTCTGACGAGGATTATGACCACAGTTAACAGATCCAACTCCCAGCCCGAGAATCCCACCTACGTGGTCTTGGGTTCCGGCGGCCATACGGCCGAGATGTGCCGGCTGACCCAGGCGCTACTGCAACAGGAGGACGCCAAGCAGGCGAGGAAATACCAACCCATAAGCTTCATCCTGGCCAGCAGCGATACAACATCCGAGCGCCAGCTAAGGGAGGCCCTGCCAGCGCCGATGATAGCCCGATCGGAATTCGTGAGGGTGCCGCGAAGCCGCAGCGTCGGACAGTCCTGGTTCAGCAGCATTTTCACCACGCTTTGGGCGCTACTCTGGAGCTGCTATTTGGTGTGGCGAGATCAGCCACGTTTGGTACTGTGCAATGGTCCCGGCACCTGTGTGCCCTTCTGCTATGCTGCCTACCTGTGCCGCCTGCTCGGACGCCTGCCCGGGCGATCCCGTATTGTGTTCGTCGAGAGCTTCTGCCGTGTGGAAAGCCTGTCGTTGAGTGGACGCCTGCTGCTGCCGCTGGCGGACCTCTTTGTGGTCCACTGGCCGGCGTTGGCCACCCGATATTCGCACAAACGAAACCTTTGCTACTTTGGTCGCATTTTGTAATATTATTTATTTATTGAAGAAGGAAGAACTAAACAATAATGATAAACTAAAAAACAATTCTTCATAGGTAATGGAGTGTTTGTGTGTATGGAATCACTTGCGCTTCTTGCCCGGACATATGTTGCGGTGAGCATCCAACTGGTGGCCCATCAGCTCCTGACCGCACTTCGGGCAGCCAACAGTTGGCTTGAAGAGGTTACGCTGGCGGCGTTGACGGGGAGTTAGCTCATCCTCGCTGGCCAGCATCGAGGTGTCGCTAGAAGAGCTTAGGTCGAGGCCGGAGACGTCGGACTCGGTGTAGCCGAATTTACGCAGCATTTCCTTGGTCGACGACGACTTTCGTTTGCTGCCGCCCGGGGGCGATGTTTTCACCTTGGTTCCTCCAGCACGTTTGAAGGAAGGCGGAGCCACGCGCTGAGTAATACTACAGCCGTCCAAGTGATTGTCGAGATCGCTGCGCTTTAACTGATCGAAACATATCGGACAGGACACGATGTCGTTGCCTTCATTTGCGTGGTAGCCCCAGCTGGGTACAACGTCGTTCTGTTGACGGAACTCCCACAACAGCGATTCATGGTTGCCCAAACCGATTTGGCTAATCTCAGGATCATTGCTCTCATCTCGCTCATCATCGTTGTACTCGTCATCGATGAACAAAATGTTGTCTTTGTAGAAGCCAATCGATTCATCCTCCAGAACTTCGCGTTTTACATTCTGCGAGCGCTCCTGGCTGCTCATAGGAAAGCGTCTATCCGGCGGCCCCATGGACTCTTCATCATCGTCGGTATCGCTGTCAACGATTACCGTCGCTGTGTAGGCATCTGTATTTATTTCGTCGGTGGACTCCCAATGTTGTATTTCGGAGTCACTAGCTTCACGGCGTCGCTTTTTTGGGATAATTTCAAAGGTTTCGTCTTCCTTACGCTTGGTGCTGTTGGGCTGAGGTTCTTCCGGATTATCGATTAAGTTCTGTTCGTTATTATTCATGAGATCAGCAGCAGGAGGCTCATCATCGACACTGCTGTTATCGTCCACAAGGTCTATCACAACTTTGGGAGCATCTCTGACTAGTACATCTTCGTCATAGCGCTCCCACTGTTCTGCTTCGGTTTTGCTGGACACGCTTATCTCGCTGGGTGGGCACTTTTGCTTCTGGCCGAAGCGCCGTTCACGGATTTCACGAATGTTAAGGGCATCGTTTGTGTTGTTTTCATTGTCAGCTTTGGGCATAGTGTAGCCCTGTTCGGCCTCTTTAAACGATGGAAATTTCTCGCGAATGGATGGCGCCGGTGGTTCATCTTCGTCGCTGTCGCGATTCAAATCCCCGAAGCTTCTTATATTAGATCCAGAGTTCTTTGGCTTTGCATTTGGCCAGGGGTTTTGGGATGTTAAGATGGGGCGGTCCTGTTGGGATTTCGTCGGTACAACGGCGCCCAATATAGCGTCATCGGTGGCTAGCTTCTTGGCCGGCGGCTTATTAAACCAATCGCGTATATCGCTCTTGGGATCAGACACCGCAGGCAGAGCCTTTTTCGGCGCCTTAATGGCATTTTTAATGTCTTTCGGTGGCTTGGGTGCCTTCGGTGGCTTTGATGGTCCACTTACTTTCATAAATGTGCCGCCGCAATCGCGCTGATGCTTCGCCCACCATTGGTCATTGGGGCCGGGAGCCCGATTAGAGGTGCGTTTTACCCAGCCCTTGAAGGGAGTGTGGTTCTGGCAGATCCCATTGCAGCGCCAGATGTGCGTGCGATAGGCGTCCACCTCGTCGTGGAAGCTGTGGTACACCGTGATGTTTGTGCCCGCCACTTTGTTGATCATCTGCATTTTTTGTTTAAAGTTGGGGCCATGTCCTCCATTGCCCTCGCGCACGTTCAGAATGAAGAAGTAGGCGTGAATCATTTCATGCTGCAGGACCGAGACACATTACAATGAATGTAAAGACCAAATAGATGTATAATACTCACCAGTAGGGTCTCGACGAGATCTTTTCGTGGACGCAGCTTAAGTAGCGGCTCACTTAGACGGATGGTCACTTCTTGGATGTATCGATTGGACCGCTGGTAGCATATGCCAGCGCAAGAATACATGCGCTTGCTCCACTCAAGGACGACGCTGCCCAGGCGATCTTGAAAGAACTTGGCGTTGAAGCGTTGAAACATTGAATAGATGTCGGGGTTGGGGTCCACCAACTCCCACTCGGGATGGACCAGGTGCTGGGTCTGGTTAAGATAATCATTGGCAGGTGTCAGAGCCGCCGATTTGTTTGAAGCATTTTGATTGCGTTTCTCCTGCAGAGGTTTTGGATTCTGCACATTCGCACGTTGTCCCCCGTCTGGGTAAAGGAACTGAAGGCTGTTGTCCATGTCGCTGTCATTTATTTCAGCCTGCAGCCGCTTAGCGAACTGCAAGTCATTGTTCTGTGCATTCGGGGAAGTCAGAAAATTATAAAAGTCCCCTGTCCCGTCAGTTGCAGCTACTTACTTCATCTGCCTGCGAGTGGTTTGCCCCGGTGTCGCCGTTTAGATGCTTGTGCAAACTCACCGCCAACTGGTAGTCGGCGTCCTCAATATTTTCCTCCATGTTACTAGTGCTTCAGCTTCCGGCAAGATCTGGAGCTTCACCAGTTTTAGGTTCTTCAAACTTGGAGGATGCGACGGAATAAGCGCGCCGCTCTACCGTACACCGTTCCCGTAAAAACACCAAAGTGTCGCGTTAAGCAATTTGCGATGAAGATATCGATATCAATGCAAAATTATCAATGTGAAAAACAACAAAATTTGGAGGAGTATTAAACAAAAATAAAATATAAAAGTCAGGCTAGTAAGTAATAATGCACAATACGCACGACTGGGTAAAATGATAAATACGATTTACGATAAATGAGATACAGGTCTGACTAAAATCTCATGACTACCTTTAATGCCAATATAAATGCATTGCATGCACATATGTATTTATGTACACGTATATGTGAAATAATTAATTTTAAGACCAAATATATACAAATTGTGGTTAGTTAACAAGCAAAATGAACTAATATAAACATGTTAGCTTATCGAACATCTTACATCTCTAATAGATTGGCGCACTTTTTTGCATTTTCGACTGCATTTCAAAAGAGGCGCGCATGCGCACACTTCTAGCGATGTTAACGGCTATAATTGTTCTCACTGCACTAATATCTGACTGTATGGCCAAAATAATCGCAAATTAAAAGAAAAGCCGATACCAGAAGTCAAGGTAAAATCAAAACAAAAAAAAAACTCCGATACCAGAAGTCAAGGTATCCCCAAAAATAATCGAAATTCCGACCGCCATTTTATTTTCTCGTTCACTTAGCTTTTACCGCGCAAGCCGTTCGGGTGTCTCCTGCAAAGTGTTCAACATGCCGGTCGTGAAGCATCTTACTAAGCGCCAAAAAAAGCGCATGAAATCACGGGAAAGTGCAAGTGTTAATGAGAGTAAAAGTGACAAAAACCAACAGAAGAAGCAGCAAGCCAATGGCGGAAAAAACGCAGTTACTAAGCCGAATCCACCGGCAAATGCAGCCCCAATACCCAAAGTTAGTGCAACTAATTATTTTCTTAGCTCTTGTACATTTTCAAGCTTTCACAAACCTTGCTTCCTGCCATCTCCTAACCCTGTGCCCTTCGCCTCTTTTCCTTATCTGCAGGTAGCCACCATGCCAGCAGTGGAGAGGTCCCTAGCCGTGTGTCAGACACCATTGTGCAGTAAGTTTCATATCTCGTGTATCCGGCGTCCTAAAAAAAAGACCTCAACAGTTTTTTAGCAGACTGCGCGGCGCCGACAAAACGACAATTCCTAGAAAAGATCGCGTAATGTACGCCAAAACAAATCCCATGGCATCCGGTGCCAGAAGCACAGAAGAACTTCTTGTTTTGCCTTTCTCCTATTAATTACCCTTCGGCATTTCTTCTGTCAATATTATTACGAGTTTCAGATAACTCGGTGCCACAAAAAATCAAAATTAAAGTTTGCAACTTTTTTTTGTTTCTGGGAAATCGGTAATTTTTGTTTTCGACCTTGTCGCGCCATAGTCTTCCCTCTCGCTCTTTTTGTCGCGTTGAAGTCCGCCATTTTTGCGCGTTTGAGTGTTGGAAAATGGGAGATCTGGAAGAATGCACGCTTACGTTTCAATATGAAAGCGACAAACAACAACATTTGATTATTCAGGCTACATTTTTCTGATGTTTTTTTTAACGGTAATTCGGTTAGCCATATTCCACATAGTGGTGAATTCGGTGTATATGCTTGTTGGTGCACGTGTTGGTTTCAAACAAAATGGAGTTGGGTCTTGTGTTTAATTTGAAATAAGGACAGGTTTTTATTATGCCTCTCTCCTATTTTTGTGTTCTCGTCTCTGCCAATAAAGTAAACGCCGATTTGGAACAAGTGGGACCGAATGTTTGGCGCGTACGGATGGTTATTTGTTTCGACTATATCCAACTTGGCATCGTGTCACTGATCCATGTTATTCCTCTAGGTATTTATACTCGCTTTTTAATAGTACAAGAAAACAACAATCCCCCATAATATTATTATTTTTAAAGTAAGTTTTACTTAATAAGCTAATCTGGATTTGTCCCAAGTCTCCTCTAAAAATTCATGTGGCTAACAGTTTGTACTAAATAACATTAATTAACAATAAAATAAATACAAAATAACAATAAAGCCGGAGATTGTTTTTCACAAAAATGTTAAGTCAATGGTTTAAGTGGGGGAACGTGTGTTTACAATCATTTATATTTATATTTCATGTTTTTAATATTATTCTTTTTTCTCTATCCACCACAGACCCCACTGCGGAATCCTTGCCGGCTCCTTCGGAGGTGCCTGCTTATAAAAACCAAATGAACAGTACCAAGGAGAACAAATTTAAAATCGTTAGGTACTACCGCCAGCCCTCAGATCGACTCTTGCGCCATTTGATCTCAGCTGAGTACTATAAAAAAATTCAAGGAGCTTACGAAAGGTCCGCACTTTGTAAATTGAAGAGGCTGCAGGTCAAGAAAAGGAAGAAACAAGCAGCTATTGCCACAAGACCAACAAAATCAACAAAATATGCACCATTTCCCGAAAGAGCAGCCAAAGCTCCTGAACTTAACCGCTCCGTGAAACCAGAAATGGTAGCTGCACCACCACATGTTGATGCAGCTGCAGGAGGCCAAAAGGAGCGTCAGATGGACCTCGGACCCATGTCGTTTCAGAGATATATTACCGGATGCGTTGACTGGATGTATCCAGCTGAATATCCCGTTGAGCCGCCACCCATGCCCAGTACTCCCAAGATGAACCCCATCGGGTACGAGATGCTGGTCAAGAAGGGGAGACTCCGCGATTTGGCTGGTTCTGCTGATCGACAGCGGCAAGATGCAGAGGATACTGTGCTACGGATTGCTATGCAGATGGATGCAATGCAGTTGCAGTCCATGACACCGGATGATTTGGAGCTGGCTGTCTTGACAAGTGGTTACACTGTCAGCGAATTGGCCTACCGCCCCGTTGAACGTGCCAACTGGATGTGCGATGCGATACTTAATATTTTGGATGAGCCGAAGCAGACGGAAGAACCGGTCAACGTATGGGGATCGAGCAACACCATGGGTTCCAATAACTATATGTCACAGCAGCGGTCCCCACCAGATTTCTTTCTGCCTCCCTCAGGCGAAGAGATTCGCGCCCAGTTGGACCGCGCTCAGATGGACCGCGCACAGATGGATTGCGCCCAGATGGACCTTGCCCAGATGAACCAATCCCAGATGAACCTTGGCCAGATGGATTGCGCCCAGATGGACCGTGCCCAGATGGACCTTGCCCAGATGAACCGTGCCCAGATGGACCTTGCCCAAATGGACCTTGCCCAAATGGACCTTGCCCAGATGAACCGTGCCCAGATGAACCGTGCCCAGATAGACTGCGCCCAGATGGACCGTGCCCAGGCTCAGGTGTCAGAAAGGCCGTTGCCACCACCCATTATCCCATATTCAGTTCAGCAGCCAACATATGAGACTTTTACAATGCCACCAACATATGAGACAATGCCACCAACATATGAGACAATGCCACCCACATATCAGACAATACCACCCACTTATGAGACAATGCAACCCACATATGACACTGGCATAATTCCAACTACATACAAGATTGATCAGATGCGTGAGCATCAGCAGGAGCCACAGGCTCAATTCTTGAATCTTGCACAGCCACCGCCACCGCCGCCGCCGCCGCCGCCGCCTCCTCCTATGATCAGCTCTCCAGCAGTCATCAATCGCCGCGTCTCTAATAACCAAATGCGTGGCCGAAACTTTTATCGTGGGGGCAAAGGACGCTCATGGCAGAATCAGCGTACTCAAAATTGGCAGCAGACTCGCCAGTATGAGAACAACTACCAAAACTATGGCGACCGGTACAATCCTTATTATCAGCAGCCGCAGATGATGCAGAATTATAACTTAAACATGACACATCCGAATCAAATGGCTCCACCCATGGAGTCATACAACGGCATGATGCCCATGGGCCCTCCGCCAGTCCATAGCTATGGCCAATATCAGAATATGCCATATGCCCCGATGGGGTATTACCCAGGATATCCATATCCAGGATCACAGCCATTGGCCCATCAGCAAGTCAATTTTGTGCCACCGCCACCAAACAATCACTTCAACTACAACAATTTCGCGTCCATGATGCCGCAGCAAATGCATCCAAATATTCACAACAATGGCAATAATGTGCAGCAGATGCAGCCTCAACAGCAGGTTGGTTATCATTCAATATTTTTTCCAGGCTATACTTCTTGGTATCAATATGGGTATCCTCCGGGATATGTTATGGTTTATCAAACTGGTTACTTTTCGCCACAGCCTAACTTGCAGTAAGACGCCTTTTTTGGCTCCATCAGGTTCGTCGTCGGCTCTTTAATCCAAATGATAAACTAATTATGATTGGCTTGCTAATATACTCAGTTTGGGACTGTGGTCTACGATTTCCAAACTAACTACGTTTGTTTAAAACTGTAAAATCTCTACTCGATACTCATTAATTTATTAACTAATTTTCAGTGATATGGAACTCTATTCAATCATTTTTAAATAACGAATCTTGAATCTATTTCTTTTCTGTATTTATATTTAATATGTTTGATAACCGTTTATTATTAATTGTGATTAAACCTCGAGTTGGCTAAAACCCTTTACTGTATTCCATTTCAAATGTTTAAACTAATTAATCATTTCTCTTTGTTTCTTTACAACGCAGAAATTCAAGAGACCAGTAAACAAGTACCCGACATGGGAAGGTGCGAAACCACAGGGATATGTTCCCTTTGCAGCTGCTATGCCTTCTCACATGGCCAGTGATAATCCATATCCAGTTAACTACCCGGTTCCCCATGCTCCTGAAAAAAAAGAATTCACACTGAACGACAACCATTTTCCACCACTGCCCGTTCCATTGAAATCTCGAAAAGTGAAGGGGAAATAACTAACTAATTAATTTATCTTAATATTCAAAGAAACACCGAAGTGCCTTTCAAATCAACACAATGAAGCGAGAAACGAAATTAAATACTTACATAAAATATAAGGGAACACAGGAATGCATTTTAAACCCAAAAAAAGAAACAAATTTGCTAATGTATACATCTTTTTTTTTGTTTAAAACAAGAAAGAATAATGTAATTCTTACATTTTTTATATTTTAATGAACACAGAAATTTGAAAACATGTTTAGATGAAATGAAAAAGGGTAATGTAATCCTTACATATTTTTTAAGGAACACAGGAATGGATTTTAAATCAAAAGAAGCAAGCAATTTACGAATGTACACCCCTTTTTTTTAATACAAAGATGAATAATGTAATTCTTACATATTTTAAGTAACCCAGGAATGCATTTTGAAACAAAAACTGCAAACAATTTGCGAATTTATACCTCATTTTTTGTTTAATACAAAGAAGAATAATGTAATTCTTACATTATATTTAAAGTAACACAGAAATGGATTTAAAATCAAAAAAGCAGTTTGTTATTGGAAACGAGAAAGAATAATGTAATTCTTATGAAACAAAAGCAACGAATATGCGAATGTACACCTTTTTTTTGGCTTAGATCGACAAAGAATAATGTAATTCTTAAATATTATTTAAAGAAACATTGAATTGCCTTTAAATCAAAACAAGCGGTCGATTTGCGAATGTAAAACTGATTTATGAGAAATGTAATTCTAACATGAAAGCTTAAGGAATACTGAAGTGCCTTAAACAAAACAACCAAGAAAATATATAAATGTAAGGTTTTTTTAATATTCCAAAAAATTTAAAACTTGTCGAATAGAAGCGTTTTTTTTCCATATTTTTACTTATTTTTCTCCTTTTTTTCTTTTTTTTTCTCTTACATTTTTTTAATATTTATATATCAATATTTAATATATTATAAAAGATCTCAGACATGAAGAACTTCAAAAAGGCACTGATAAAATGAAACGAATAAACAAACAAAAAAAACAAACATATAATGCATAATGTTTTACTTCAATTGGGTATTAAAATTCGTTTATAGGTAATTAAAAATAATATCTTGTTGAAGTAACTTGCATAAGTGAAGGCCCAATTAATCGGTTTTTTGAATTCCCGTAGCTTTAGATAACTTCGCGGCAATAATCGATATGGGAAAGCTACCCAAAAGGCGATAATTTTACGCGATGTATTTGTAAACGTGTAAAATGCTTATCTACATGTGTAAGTTGTAAAATACAATCGATACCTGATATCGATACAATCAATCGTATCGATAATATCGATAGTGCCAGATGTATTGACTAAATTTCGTGTCGCACCTTTCGGCGCTTAAACCCATTTTTTGCGAATTACAATGGAGGCGCTGGTGAATTACAGTAGCGAGGACGACCAGGAGGATGCCGGCTACCAGATACGGGTAAATATCAAAACCCCGCTGAGTCGGGCGCAGCTGAAAAACAAAAAGATAGATACCCAATGTCAGAGGCATTTTGTGTACACCTCGTCTGTGTGCGTATGTGTGTGTGTATGTGCTGGCGTGCGTGCAAGGCGTTAAAATATATAGAAAACTGATCCCACAATCCCCTATTAACTCTAATTTAGTTGTATATTTAGTGCTTTAGTAAAATAATGCGAATTTGCTGTTTCTGAATAGTTGCAAAATTCCCCTAGGCACCACAACAACAACAACAACAACAGCAGCAGCATCTGTACCATGCAGCCAAGGGGAAAACAACCGTAAAGCAGAGGGCCAAAAACAACATCAATAGTAGTAGTAACAACAGCAACAATAACAATATCGGCAGCAGCGACGGTGACGGCGACGCCGACGCCTATGCCGGCAGAGAGAGCGTCGGCAACGGCGGCAGCCCCAGAGAAAAGCCGAAAAAACGCCATCACACTCCACCGCTGTCGACGTCGCAGCAGCAGCATCACCACAGGAGCAGCAGCAGAGGCCGCATAGATGAGGTAAAGAATTGATGTTCCACAAAATCGATATGTACATACATATATCCTCAATTGAGACAGTCTCAATCAAATGTGCGTGTGTCTGTGTATCCGTAACTATGGGTTGGAGCGACATGCGACATTTCCTTCCGCTGCCAGCGCCCAGCATCGATGCTGGCATCTTCACACACATAACGGACAAACGGCAAACAGTGGCGGGCAACCCAATAGGCAACCATGCACAAATAGTACAAAAGCCCAGAAATCAATAGCACGGTTGCACCTTCTCCACGTGCCAGCGTGCTCAGCCTTGTTCTCAATTCCACTTGGAAGTGTCAAAGGCGTCTTTGTCTAGTTATATATCCTGGCATTTATAAATCGATTAATCAATATTTACCCTATTCGAGGGTAAGTTCACTAAGTTCTTGGCAATTTACTATCGGGTTTTTAGAGATATATTAATTATTTAAAACCCAAATTTCTCCTACTTAAATATTCAAGGAATACGATTACATGTGAGATTATCCTGTCTTGTGCTACCCGCCACTGTGCTCTGCCCTGTTCTGTTACAGTCTCCTCCTTCTGACATTGGATTCTTTCGATCTGACCGATCGGTGTGACATGCGGCGCTGCTGTGCCTTGCTCCAACCCAACCCCCCTACGCCAAATGAAAAATGTATAATTTTAGCCACTCTGCCAGCATAAATCCATAAATTTGTCTCCTTTTGGCTTTGTTCAGTATTCTTAAACGAATAAACCCATGTCGGTCCGCTTTGTGTGATTGCACACTTTGTTGTTGTTGTTTGTTCGGCCTCAGATTAGTTAAGTTTTACCATTTTATATGCCAATTAATATTTAAATGACTAAACTCTACCATTTTATTATCATTGTTGTTGTTATTATGTAAACGAAACCAAACCAAACCAAAACCAGACCAAATCAAAAACACTTTCCAAAAGAAAAAAAGAAAAATTAAAAGTAAATCCTGACCAACGACCATTGACGGTTCCTCTTCGATCGTGGCAATCGAGCGATTGCCAATAACCAAATCGTGACAATCGAACTGATTTGTAGAGTCTAGGCTTGTGTGTGTCTCCGTGGCTGTGCTGTGGTGGTGTGTTCGTGTCCAGGACACGATCGCACAACATACACACGTCCGCCCGCCCGCACATACACACTCACACACACACTCTCCCTCACTGGTGGCGCGAAAGCGAAAGCAAGAGAGAAAGTGAATGAGAGAAAGAGAGAGATTGAGAGGGAGCCGCACGAAAGTGAGTATACCAAAATGAGATCAATATCGATCAAAAACTTAACTACTCTCTAAGTAATCTAGGATTCTACGGAGCCCAGATCCCAGAGGACCAGCCTCCGTTCGGTTCCCCAGCCGGTGGCCACATCGATTCGAATCATTCTAGCCCCTAGATTGTAGATCTTTTCCTGCCTAAGGACTGGGACAGATTTTCTTTAATGTAACTCTTCTCGGTGGGCTTTGCCCTCTTGCCGTTTCAGGATACGCAGCAGAGTCGCCATCAGCGCCAGGAGCGGGACAGGGATCGAGATAGGGAACGGGACTGGCACAGGCACAAGGATCGTGAGCGTGACAGGGAGCGGGAGCGAGAAAAGCGTGATCTGGACCGCGGCAGGGAAAAGGAGCGTGACAGGGATCACAGTAAGGTGAGTTCTAGTCTCACGTATGTAACTGGAAAATATGCATAAAATGTGCCCGTGCCCGTGCCTCAGGAATACTTTCCTGATCAAATGTTCAATACTGACCTTGGTTCTTCTCTTGCAGAGCGAACATCGTCATCATCGTACCAAAGATAGCCACGGCCACCGGGAGCGTGAGAGAGAGCGTGATCGGGACAAGGAACGCGAGAGAGAGCGGGAGCAGCGAATTCGCGACAAGGATCGTAGGCGTTCGGAGAAGAGTAGTCGGCACCACAGCGGCAAGGACCAGCGTCATCACCACAACTCCTCAGCTTCCTCCGCCGCTGCATCTGCTGCTCCCACAAACGCATCTGCTCAGCGCCGCTCCTACGATGACCGCAGTGGTCGTCGGCGCCGTGATTCCCGCTCTCGATCCCGCACGCCCACGGGAACGCCACCCTCTCGTCGCCGTCAGCAGGCGCAGCAGCATCAGCAGTTGCGCAAATACCGCGAACGTGACTCTAGCAGCCGCTCCCGATCTCCCAAGGATGAGCAATCCCAGGCGCTCCGCGGAGGAGCTGTATCCGGGACTCACCTGCTAAACAAGCCCGGCGGCGGATCCTCATCAGCTGCCTCTGTGGCAGCAGCGGCTGCTTTGGCAGCCGCCAATGCAGCAGCCGCAGCTATGGCGGTGGCATCCTCTGGAAGCGGAGGAGCCAACGTTGGCGGCAGCGGGCTTCTGCCCACGCCTAACTACGCACCCAAGATACCTTCGCTGATGTCCCTCGAGCTGACCACACCAGCGGTAGCAACTCCTGCGGCGGAACCTATCCAGCTGCCCAGCTACTACAATCCGGGCATCATCAATGCCAATCGCTACGCGGAACAGCAGCACAAGCGGAAGCTTCTGTGGGGCTCCAAGAAGAGCGAGGACTCGGCGAACAAGTGGGGCAACGCCCACTTTTCCCAGGACTCGGACGGCAAAGTGGCCTCGAAGTTTATGCGGCTGATGGGCATCAAGAATGCTGGCTCCTCCGGTGATGGAGATCCTAACAGCAGTAGTGGAGCTACCGAGCCTGCGGAGGCCAGCAATGGTAATACAGCCAGCGATGGTGGATCGGGCGTAGCTTCTGGCGGATCAGTTCATGCTGGCGGAGCAACCGGAGCAAGCGTCCCGGCCGATGTCCAGCTGCGTCAACGTATGTTCTCCAACATGGAGCAGCAGTACGAGATGGCAAGAGCGGCCACGCACACAATGCGCGGCGTAGGTCTCGGTTTCGGCTCCCAGCCACGCTCTTTCTAGATAAAGGATCAGCGGATGCGGAAGAGAGCAGAATAAGATGGAGGAGGAGGAGGAGGAGCTCCAAACCAGGCTGTAAATACCATGCCAATCACTCAACTCATTAGTCATGTCGAGCTGTTTCCCCCAAACCCTCTTAGTTTGTGTTAAGCCAATGTTTTTTTTAAATTTTAAAATAAACGTTGCAAGAAAAGAATATGTACCCTTTCCTGTTTAAGTACTACTAATTACTAATTGTAATGGTAAAGCAAAATGTATTTTTAAATGCTTTTAATTCTGTATGTGGGTTAACGGTTCAATTTCAAAAACAAATGTGTTCACGCTCAGACGTTGTCCAACACTGGCGAGACATTAACGCAGTGTTGGACTGTCAAGAGCAAGAATTAATTTTTCATGTTTACAATATTATTGTTTATCTTATGCACATAATTGGTGTTGCTATAGGATAATACAATTTGTTAATAATACAAAACTTGTAATACATTAAGGCCGTGAAAGTGATAATTATTTTCAATCAAAAATTTGAATATTTGCACTGCCGCCACGAGCCGACTGTGAATGTGAGGACCAGCGCCAATCGATAACCGATAGGCGATTAGAAGTGAAACAATAACAAAATCAGCTGCAAACAATTTGTGGTGCCACGCAAAAAAACAAGCAACAAAAAGTATCAAAATTCGCCTGGATCTCCACCGCCCTGTCCCCCGGAAGAGAGTGAGTGACCCAGCCAGCAAAGACAACAACAAACGCCCCCCGCCCGGACCTGTCACGCAGCGTGAGACAGAGAGTGGAGAGGAGCAGAGGGTAGTCCGGAGAAGATGTCGTGGCTGAACAACAGCCTCAGCACGCTCAAGGGCCAGCTGACGAACCTGGCCCAAGAGGTTCTGGCCGAGACTGCTGGGCCCGGTGATGCCGACTATCAGGGATCCGCCGAGGGCAGCGAGAAACGCGCCCAGTCTGCCCTTGAGCTACTGGCCGAGACGCAGCAGCAGAAGGAGCAGCTTGACAGGCGCTGCGAGGAGAAGGACCGCGAGGTATGACACTTGTGCGACTTCCCAGAAGCAATTGCTTGCTCTGAGTCCACGTATTAACGTTTTTCTTCCTTCCAGATTGCCGCCCTGCGCCGCGAAATAGCCAGGAACAACAAGAAGCAGCCAAAGCTAAGCACATCCCCCGAGGAAGCACAATTGGTAAGTGTTAGTACACACTGGGAACCGAGCACCGAGGACCTGCAGCTGGCGACGTTGGCGGCTGTTCTGGTTTCCGGTGCCGGTGCCCCTTCCGCCTTCCGGGAACCACTGCGCGCTCAAGTGTTTGCTCTCCGCCTTATCTCCGCTCCGAGCATATCCCTGAATTAATATTTAAACTGCGATAAGCTAGGAGCAGCAGCTCTGCCACTAAGCACACCCTTTCCGTGCCGGAGAGGCTTATCTGGGTTTTACCTGATGCCACACAAAGTGGCCGGCCAGATAAGCAACGGACCGTCCCGCTTCCTCCCCTGGCAGATTCCGTGGAAAACGAAATTATGAAATTTCTATTTGATTCCACATTCGGTGTCGTGTATTTGCCTGGCTGTCATAAATCCCGGCCAGGTCTCCTTTTCGATCGGCCCATATGCTCGCTGGGCTCCTTATCTAGGCGTTCGCCCTTGTTCCTGTCCTAAAATCCCCAATCCTATTCCTATCAGCGCTGCCTATCCACCCCATGCCATGGGAGTCGGCGCGGCGACGGCTGCTTGTTTAATTTAACGAATTATTTCTGATTAAACGAATCTCTAAAAGCCAACCCCAACGGGTTCGGCTCCTAGCGACGCTCCTAGCGCTGGAGAGCTTGGCAATGCGCAACTGTACATATTATGGGATATGCTGGAGTTTGGAGCTAGGCTGATCATTTCCAGTTCTATCAGGTTTTGTCTTTAATAAACGAATTAAGTAATATTAACTTGAAACTATGAAAGATTTAATAGATTACAACTTATTAAGTCTCTTTTGTTGTAAAGAGTTTCTCCTCTTTCATTTACTTTGATATGATTAGCTAATCGAAAATCTAACAAGAAAGGAAGCTAACTTCGTCACGCCGAAGTATGTATACCCTTGCAGATTTAAATTCGATCACCAGGAATTAATACATTATAGATTATATACTTCTGTTAAAAACAATAACGTATTGCCTGCTTTACCTTCATTCACCTATACATTTTACAATCACAGTTAAAAGTTATAATACATTTTCCAAAAATTTTTCCGATCGTTCCTATGGCAGGTATATATGTATATGTATATGTATTTATATAGTCCACCGATTCGCCATGCTCCGACTTATATACTAGTAAAATTATATAGAAGAATATCTCCATAGTTCCATTCAAATAGCTTAAATTTGTTCCAAAACAAATCTCTCACATCTGAACATATGATTCCCAAACAGTTCTAACATCTCCGGAACGAAGTGACTGCTGGCGGCCACGTCTCAGAAATGTGTTGTGTTTAAAAAGTTGCAAGTCATTGTTTACTAGTGTTCAAAGTTAGAAACTGATCATACATACTTACTGGCCATAGGTACTTAATGCTCAGAGATACTTACTGTTCAGAGTTACTTAATGTTCATTGATACTTACTGGTCATAGATACTTACTGTTCAGAGTTACTTACTGCTCATAGATACTTCCTGTTCAGAGTTACTTACTGCTCATAGATACTTACTGCTCATAGTTAACTGCTGCCCATAGTTATTTTATTTTTTTCTTAAAATTCTCCGATCGTTCCTATTTCAGCTATATATATGTATATATATAGTCCACCGATTCGCCATGCTACGACTAATATACTAGTAAGATTATATAGAAGAATATCTCCTTAGTTCCATTCAAATAGCTTAAATTTGTTCCAAAACAAATCTCGCACATGAGAACATATGATTCCCAAATAGTTCTAACATCCCCGGAACGAAGTGCCTGCTGCCGGCCACGTCTCAGAAATGTGTTGTGTTTAAAAAGTTGCAAGTCATTGTTTACTAGTGTTCAAAGTTAGTAACTGATCATACATACTTACTGGTCATAGATACTTAATGCTTAGAGATACTTACTGTTCAGGGTTACTTAATGTTCATTGATACTTAATGTATATTGATACTTACTGGTCATAGATACTTACTGTTCAGAGTTAATTACTGCTCAAAGATACTTACTGTTCAGAGTTAATTACTGCTCAAAGATACGTAATGTTCAGAGTTACTTAATGCTCATAGATACTTACTGCTCATAGTTAACTGCTGCCCATAGTTATTTTTTTTTCTTAAAATTTTCCGATCGTTCCTATGGCAGCTATATATATATATATATATAGTCCACCGATTCGCCATGCTACGACTAATATACTAGTAAGATTATATAGAAGAATATCTCCTTAGTTCCATTCAAATAGCTTAAATTTGTTCCAAAACAAATCTCGCACATGAGAACATATGATTCCCAAATAGTTCTAACATCCCCGGAACGAAGTGCCTGCTGCCGGCCACGTCTCAGAAATGTGTTGTGTTTAAAAAGTTGCAAGTCATTGTTTACTAGTGTTCAAAGTTAGTAACTGATCATACATACTTACTGGTCATAGATACTTAATGCTTAGAGATACTTACTGTTCAGGGTTACTTAATGTTCATTGATACTTAATGTTTATTGATACTTACTGGTCATAGATACTTACTGTTCAGAGTTAATTACTGCTCAAAGATACTTACTGTTCAGAGTTGTTTACTGCTCAAAGATACGTAATGTTCGGAGTTACTTACTTCTCATAGATACTTACTGCTCATAGTTAACTGCTGCCCATAGTTATTTTTTTTTTTCTTAAAATTCTCCGAGCGTTCCTATGGCAGCTATATATATGTATATATATAGTCCACCGATTCGCCATGCTACGACTAATATACTAGTAAGATTATATAGAAGAATATCTCCTTAGTTCCATTCAAATAGCTTAAATTTGTTCCAAAACAAATCTCGCACATGAGAACATATGATTCCCAAATAGTTCTAACATCCCCGGAACGAAGTGCCTGCTGCCGGCCGCGTCTCAGAAATAAGTTGTGTTTCAAAAGTTGCAAGTCATTGTTTACTAGTGTTCAAAGTTAGTAACTGATCATACATACTTACTGGTCATAGGTACTTAATGCTCAGAGATTATTACTGTTCAGAGTTACTTAATGTTCATTGATACTTACTGGTCATAGATACTTACTGTTCAGAGTTACTTACTGCTCATAGATACTTCCTGTTCAGAGTTACTTACTTCTCATAGATACTTACTGCTCATAGTTAACTGCTGCCCATAGTTATTTTTTTTTTTCTTAAAATTCTCCGATCGTTCCTATGGCAGCTATATATATGTATATATATAGTCCACCGATTCGCCATGCTCCGACTAATATACTAGTAAGATTATATAGAAGAATATCTCCATAGTTCCATTCAAATAGCTTAAATTTGTTCCAAAACAAATCTCGCACATGAGAACATATGATTCCCAAATAGTTCTAACATCCCCGGAACGAAGTGACTGCTGCCGGCCACGTCTCAGAAATGTGTTGTGTTTAAAAAGTTGCAAGTCATTGTTTACTAGTGTTCAAAGTTAGTAACTGATCATACATACTTACTGGTCATAGATACTTAATGCTCAGAGATACTTACTGTTCAGAGTTACTTAATGTTCATTGATACTTACTGGTCATAGATACTTACTGTTCAGAGTTAATTTCTGCTCATAGATACTTACTGTTCAGAGTTAATTGCTGCTCAAAGATACGTAATGTTCAGAGTTACTTACTGCTCATAGATACTTACTGCTCATAGTTACCTGCTGCCCATAGTTATCTTTTTTTCTTAAAATTTTCCGATCGTTCCTATGGCAGCTATATATATGTATATATATAGTCCACCGATTCGCCATGCTCCGACTAATATACTAGTAAGATTATATAGAAGAATATCTCCATAGTTCCATTCAAATAGCTTAAATTTGTTCCAAAACAAATCTCTCACATCTGAACATATGATTCCCAAACAGTTCTAACATCTCCGGAACGAAGTGACTGCTGGCGGCCACGTCTCAGAAATGTGTTGTGTTTAAAAAGTTGCAAGTCATTGTTTACTAGTGTTCAAAGTTAGAAACTGATCATACATACTTACTGGTCATAGATACTTAATGCTCAGAGATACTTACTGTTTAGAGTTACTTAATGTTCATTGATACTTACTGGTCATAGATACTTACTGTTCAGAGTTACTTACTGCTCATAGATACTTCCTGTTCAGAGTTACTTACTTCTCATAGATACTTACTGCTCATAGTTAACTGCTGCCCATAGTTATTTTATTTTTTTCTTAAAATTCTCCGATCGTTCCTATGGCAGCTATATATATGTATATATATAGTCCACCGATTCGCCATGCTACGACTAATATACTAGTAAGATTATATAGAAGAATATCTCCATAGTTCCATTCAAATAGCTTAAATTTGTTCCAAAACAAATCTCGCACATGAGAACATATGATTCCCAAATAGTTCTAACATCCCCGGAACGAAGTGCCTGCTGCCGGCCACGTCTCAGAAATGTGTTGTGTTTAAAAAGTTGCAAGTCATTGTTTACTAGTGTTCAAAGTTAGAAGTTGATCATACATACTTACTGGTCATAGATACTTAATGCTCATAGATACATACAGTTCTGAGTTACTTACTGCTCATATTTAATTACTGATTATAGTTATCTACGGATCATAGTAAGTTAATGTTCATTGATCATAGTTACTTAATGGTCAAAGATACTTAGTGATCATAGCTAATTACTGGTCATAGTTACTCTCTGGCAGTTATATATAGTATTCCGATTTTTATAAAACTATATAATAATAATAATTTATAAATCTATATGAATCAAATTGGATAAAAATACTCATATGGTAGGTACCCAGGAAGGGTATGAAAATGTGATTTCCAACGAGGAACATAAATCATATGACAAAGATTGCATCATTTTATATTTATAGATAATGTGTAGAGATATGAGATTATATGTATATTTTCGGAATAGGAAGAAACTTGGTAAATCCTTAGTCTTTTGTATTCCTTGAGCTGGACCTTTGTAGCTTCGAGTTTTGTACTTTAAACATTAGTGTTGGACCCCCAACTCCTATCCCATTAATGTTGGTTAGATGTTGTTTCACAATACTCCTTTCTGGGTTATCTCGGGCTGATTATCGATGGTTATCTATTGGATCGATAGCAGGCGGTGCCACCATATTGTTTTGCATAATTGCGCCAGGCGGACGGTGATAAGTGTGCTGCCCTCATCCTCATCCTCGTGGACGTGGACGTACCCATACCCCTACCCGTACCCCTACCCGTTCCAATCCCATGGATGGCCTCGGAGCCACCCCACAAGCCTGACATTATCATCCCCATTAGGCGGGCATTTTTGGGACATCTGCATCGTACCATGCCCGGTTATCTTATCCGGGACTGGGGACAAGCTGGCCAGGATCGGCAAGGGTTGTTGCCGCCGGTGGACTTGGAGGCCTATAAAAGCCGGGGCCACCTGCTGGCTGCCATTCATTCGGTGCCGTGTGATCGATTCACGTAGGAGACCCGCATAAAGTGTTCATTTCCACCAATTTTTCTTTCCTCAGTTGTTCGCGGTTCGTTCCATTTCTGGCCTAAAAGAAAAAATAACAAAGTTAAGAACGCGATTTGCATTTGAAAAAAAATCGTGTGAAATTTCCAAAAAAAAAGAAGGCCAACCGCATTTTGTAAATTTTTTCTTGTATTTAATTGTTTGTTCTTTGCATTCTTTTATTTTTATTACCGGAAGTTGCGCGACGACAACTGCAGTTTCTTTTTTTTTTTGTATTTTGTTTCATTTGTGTTTGTGTACTCTCCGGTGTGTACTTGCTCGGTATTTATTTTGGGTGAGTTGAAGGTAATCTTTTCTTTTTTTTAAATGCAACAGGCAGCAGGCAGCAGCGAATTAGTCTAATTGTCAAATTTAAAAACGCAATGATTAGGTGAGAGTTAGAGACGAGAGGCAATCGACACGAGGCAGCGAGCACGCACCTGGCGATGATAATGGGGCCGGGTAAGTCAAGTAAAAATACAAAAATTATAGAATTAGGGGAGATATTTGTTTTAAAAAGGGTTATTTCTGTTATTTATAATCAATATATTACTGGGTTTATTGGTTGAAAATAGCTGCAAATGAAAATTAAGGAAGTCAGACCAAATAGCTTACCTTTCCACAAATATATATTCAGTATCCTCGACTAATAATGCTTTATTTAAAAGGATAATTGGTATAAATAAATATAAATCTTATATTAGAAAGTGCTCTAGAGAATGTTTATTGATGTGTATATCAAGATAAATCCTAAAAATACTCCAATTATGATGAAAATTTAACCCAATTTCAAGCACTAGTAGATAAATGATGGAACAGGAAATGCGCCATATTTGTAATATCAATTTGATATTAGAGAGAAAGTATATATAATATAGAATGTAGGGAATATATATGGAACAAACTCTCCATGGGCTGCATAATCATAATTATCCATATCGCGGAGCTCTCCTGATCTTGCACAGATTTCATTAGAGCGGAAATGTTGATTGGTCGCTTGGTTGGCTCCTCGTTTGGGTCACTGGAGAGGGGATAGCTGGCGGGATGTGGGATGTGGGATGCGGAATGGGGTGGTCCGATTGGCAGGTAGTTACTCCATTTTAGTTAAGTTTTTATTTTGTTTTTGGACACGTCAACCGAAACCGAAACCGAATCGAGTTCCATTTGATAAACGCAGTTTGTTACGCTCGGCCAAACTGTGTCAAATGTGTCCACAGGTGCACTTGTTGCTACCTCACATGGCCCAGCATCTGGACATCCATTTGCCACGGATCGCCGAGATTATTTCTTCTCTGTACAATTTGTTATGCCAAAAATCTATAGAGAGTTATATGAAGTTGTTCTCTCCATCTCTGATTCCAGCTTGTCCATCTTACGCTTATAATATTATTTCCAATTATTTAGTGGTTTGATTGCCATAAATTACTCTACTATATGTTTGTGTCATTGTTCTACATATTTTTTAGAGCCAAACAAATCTGGCATGATAGAATTTAGGAAGCTAACTTAGGGAAACCGAAATTCCTATACCCTTGCACAGAAAATGTATCATAACTCCCTCAAAAATGCATTAATTTCACCTCGGAAAGCAGTTCTGTGTTAGTTTTTCGTAGGTTAATAAATCTGCATACTCAGTTTAAAATTTTAGAAAATTTAAATTTTTGTCGATTTTTTTAAATTTTAATGATCTAACCCCTTTGATTTTTTATCAAAAATGAAAATTTTTTAAAAGTTTTTATTTTCTGCCGAAGATGGCTAGAAAGTTTCGCCTGTTGATGCTGATCAAGAATATATATGATTTATAGGGTCGGAAATGACTCCTTCGTTGTGTTTTAAGCTTCTGACTGAATTTATAATACCCTTACATAGGGGGTTTTCTATATACTCTTTTAGTGGGGAAATCAACAAGACTGTTTAAATATTTCCTAATATACTCTCTTATCAAAGATTCTTTAAGTCTTTAAGTCTGATTATGCTGCTGTAGTTTGCTTTTAAATCTATCTACATACATCAACATCCCTTCCACTCTGTGTATTTAGTAATCGTTGTAACTATTGTGGAGACCTGCACTTATGGTCAGCGAAATCATTCAGCTATGATGATGACGATGATGATAATACATCATCGTGATTTGTTTTGTGTTTTTTTCCCTGTGCTAAGCACGAATGAGAATGACAATTTTTCATAAGAGCTTCGTTAGCAACCCGGGTATCCAACCCATCCATTCCGCCCACAATCCGGCACAGTATCCGCCGCATTTCCCACCAAACTGACCCCCGGCCAATGCGATGTCGAACGTTGCATGTCGCTAAGTGCCGTTGATGTTGCAGCAGCTTGTTGCCTGCAGTTTTCAGTTTTTGGCCTAAAGTTTTTGGGATTGCAAAGTGCAGCTTGGCAGTTTAGCTTTGCTGACGATCTGCTGTCGCAGAGACTAGCAATTATTTTATAACATTCGTTCGTTGTCGTTTTGCTGCTGCCCCCGGCTGACATTGTTCGGCTGCCCGTGGGTTTCTATAAACAATCAGCGAAGCGAGCGGCCAGAGTGGAAAATGGAAAATGAGCAAGAAAATTTGCTACGAATTATGGTTAAGCCGAAGTGGGAAGTACTCTTGAATGATTTAGCGATGAGGTTTTGCCACTTTTCCCTTAGTTAAGTGAGTTGGTGTTGATTTTGGGTAATATATAATGTGTACTAATACAAATATAATTAATTTTAAAGCTTAGACAAACAAAATAATTGTTTATAGACCAAGAGACAAGGGTTGAGTAACGATTCGACCTTCGTTTCCCATATTGCACATGCAACACAGCGCTCTTTACCTTCTGGGCAGCTCTGCTTAACCCCATGGATCTCTAACCCTATCCAAATAAATCTCAAATGTCCATATACCCTCCCAAAGTTAGGGCAGATGAAAAGCTGCCACTTTGGAACAATGCGGGGGACAAAAACGAAACCAAAATCTTGGTCCAAATCAATTTGCCGCCTGTGAATGGGGGCAGCGACGTCGGAACACAACACACACACACACTCAGGTGGCGCTGCCGGGGCTTCCACGTCGACATCCATATCCACATGCACTTGTACGTCCACATCCACATCCACGTCCACGTCCACATCCACGTCCGAATCCAAAGCCGAGTCCACAAACCACGTCCATTTCCGTTTCCATTTAGCTTCGCGTGCTTCTAACGAGCTGCGCCAGCTTTTGAGGCCTAAATGGTGCTGCCAAGGGAGGTGTAGAGATATCCAAGGGGGATTTTTCCAAAGGGGGGAAGTACCCCCCCACCCCAGGGGGCCATTCATATGCACCAGGGTTGCCATGGCTACCAGCACAAGTTGCTCAATTTGCGTCGCGTTTAACCTTCGCCTGTAATTGCATGTGCTGGAGTCAGGTCGCAGTCGGAGTTGGAGGCACCTCCCAAGATCTCAGATGATCAGATGCACATGCAGATGATAGACATGGGCGTGTTACTAAGGGGGTTTTCGTTTAGTTGAGATATTAATGATACTGGAAAGGAGATATACCAAGGGTCTCGCCTGTTCTTGAACGTTTATTGTACCTCTAAGAGTTCTTGGTTTGTTAAGAATTTGGAAAAGCCTGAGCCTGTGACCCTTGGGTCCTAACTCTGGTTAGTACTACTTCATAAAGCCCCTTTTCAAGTTCCGACCACAAAGGCCTCTGTTTTAACCGTGTGCTAGGAAAAATGTCGAAAATGCATTTGTCACGCAATCCGCTGGACACATTTGTGGCATTCTTTTCGTCCGATTTATATAGCAGATTGACGGATTTGTGTGGCATTCAAGGTGGCCTCGACAGATCTTGGCTTTGTGTCTCAATTCACATGGCCTTCCCTGTGGGCCGACAGTTCTTTTGGCTCTAGGTCAGATGGGAGGAGAACCCCCTCCCAGACCTCCGGCGCCACCCACTATTTTTTCCCCTAAATATCTATATATAATATATAGAGTTTTTAGCAATTACGGTGAGCCGACTCTGACTGGCGAACAAATGCTAATAAGCATTAAATTATGAAAAAGATTTTTCGTTTGCAGGCCAGTCGGGCCGTAAATGACGAAATTTAAGCATCCATATATTTATGGCCCAGACTTTTTGCACTGGAAAACTACTGCGAAAATGTGGCGACTCGAAGAGGGGGTGGTTTGGGCAAAGGTGTTGCGTTTTGGCGATTTTTATTGGCAAGTCGCGCAGTTGCATAAACACAAGGCACACTAAATAGCCAACGGAGGAGGAGGAGTCGCCGGATGAGGGGCAGGGCAGCTGGAAACAGCCCAGCGACGACAGCAAATGGAAATATGTTCACCTGAGTGGATGGAGTGTGTGTGTGCGGAAAAAAGAAAAATATACATATATTTGTAGATTTCAAACAACGCAACTAAATACTTATAACTAAAAAACCAAACTGCCGCCGGTAAGCGAAAAAAAGAGGAAAAATAAGAAACTAGAACGCCCATAAAAAAGCCAAACAAATTGAGCGAGGTAACCGAGGCTGTCGTCGCTTTTCCATTCGCTTTTCCAGTCCCTTTTCCCCCTTTTGTCACTTTGAGCATTTTCTAATTAGCTTAAAAAGCCTCGAAAAAAGAAGCCCTAATATGCTCAAATATGGGCTAAAACCCAAAGCTAATCCTTAGGCAAAGAAGAAAGTTTAAGCCACTAGAAAGTATATTGAAAATGTATAGTCTAGAATTATATTGAAATCATGGCTAGTAGTTTTCCTAATCCTTTGAGGGAATTTCCACTCTTAAATCACATATATTCATAAACAATCTTCTATTCATTTGAATTCTTTGGAATGGAATCTGTTGGTGGCTTTAGCTGGTTTTGGTTCTCTTTTAATTTCCCCAAAAAACACAATCGGTGTATATGTATATTTGCTTTGGCTTAAAGGAAAATGGTATTTTGTTTGTCCGCAAGAAAAATCGTAGTTTATTTTTCGGGTTTTCTTGATGTTTGCCTTTTCATTTAGTTATCGTTAAATGGTCCTCAAAATGAGAACATTATATATATGTTAGACATATAGAAACAGGGTAAAGGAGATACAGATAAATACTGGGAGATGAGATATATATAAGAGACTTTTAAATGTAAAAGATGTATAGAAGAAGATACAGATACAAACTCAGGGAAGAAGATATATTGAAGAACTCAGGGGTTTAAGGTGCCACATACTGGATGGTTGCTAGCGAACTTCTATCTAAATAATATCTAATCAATCCTATAATATTTGTTATGATTATTATTAGGTTAATGAGTAAAAGTACCCTAAGGAAGAGTTCTTTGGGAGATATCTCAAAGTATCTCAAAGATGATGATAATGAAACCCTATGTCAGATAATCAAAATCTTTACTTTGAACTTAAACCCAATGAGTTCTTTTATATAGGGATCGTTCTGTATCCTAGTTTAGGGATCAACACACTCTACACTCTCGAACCGGAGACCACGTCCGTTTGTAGCTCCAGAGCTGGCAACTGTATCTGTATCTATGGGCCGAGATCTCTGATGTGTATCTTTGTATATTCGCGTCTATGCTCGAGGTGTGCATCTTTGCATCTTAAATGGAACGAGCGAGACACGGACGGTACGTCGTGGAGCGACCGAATTGAAGCGCGTTATTTGAATTTGATTTCTTGTCTGAATTTTAACAGCAACGTGTTAAATGAATGCCAACACACAAGAGCCGTGCCCCGACAGCCGGCGGTGCGGTCTTCATCTCCGACTCTAGGTCCCTGTCTCTGTCCGTTTGCCGTTGCCAGGTAACTAGTATCTATCTATCCACACAAGAGATGCGATGCTGTAGCTGTAGCACCTCGCCATGTGCTATGTACCATTTACCTCGATACTCGGGGGCCTCCGTTTCCATTCAATCTGCTCCAGATCAACGTCAACGTCAGAGCATTTCGTCATCGATCCGTATCCACATTCACATTCACATTTATCCCTGCATCCGTATCCGCATCTGTGTCTCCCCAGCTGTATCTTTCCCTTACATTTCCCCATTTCGGTGACCGCTTTCTTTAACTTATGCACGTACCGCCGCCTATATGGGTATCTGTGTTGGGATAGTGTTTTCCACATATTGATCGAACGTGTGCAAATAAAATACAATTTAAATATTTATTATCTTTGCAGTTCGTTAGCATCTTGTATCGGTTTAAGGCAGGGTCATAGATACCACTATTTTCAATGGGGATTTAACCTAGATACTTTAGCTTAAAGCTATATCAATTTGTTTAACCAAATGAGAGTTTAAAGAGTCTAGATTATAGTAACATTTGTAATTACCTATTAAACAAAAAGGAAATCTAGTTCTAAGGCCAAGTTTGTCTGTAGTTTAGACCCAAGAACATAGAGTTTAAGTAGTCATACATACTTTTTCTTTGCTTAAATATTGAAAACCCCCTTTGGCCACGACACTGTCTCTGGTTTCGGTTAGTGTAACCTCAATAGTGAATGGGACTGTCTCAAAGGGTTTTTCTTGGACATTTTCACTG